CCAGTTCCTGTTGTTGTATTACTGTGGTTTTGAGATATAACCAGTTCCTGTTGTTGTATTTCTGTGGTTTTGAGATATAACCAGTTCCTGTTGTTGTATTTCTGTGGTTTTGAGATATAACCAGTTCCTGTTGTTGTATTTCTGTGGTTTTGAGATATAACCAGTTCCTGTTGTTGTATTTCTGTGGTTTTGAGATATAACCAGTTCCTGTTGTTGTATTTCTGTGGTTTTGAGTTTAACCAGTTCCTGTTGTTGTATTTCTGTGGTTTTGAGATCTAACCAGTTCCTGTTGTTGTATTTCTGTGGTTTTGAGATCTAACCAGTTCCTGTTGTTGTATTTCTGTGGTTTTGAGTTTAACCAGTTCCTGTTGTTGTATTTCTGTGGTTTTGAGATATAACCAGTTCCTGTTGTTGTATTTCTGTGGTTTTGAGATCTAACCAGTTCCTGTTGTTGTATTTCTGTGGTTTTGAGATCTAACCAGTTCCTGTTGTTGTATTTCTGTGGTTTTGAGATATAACCAGTTCCTGTTGTTGTATTTCTGTGGTTTTGAGATATAACCAGTTCCTGTTGTTGTATTTCTGTGGTTTTGAGTTTAACCAGTTCCTGTTGTTGTATTTCTGTGTTGTATTACTGTGTTTTTGAGATATAACCAGTTCCTGTTGTTGTATTTCTGTGGTTTTGAGATATAACCAGTTCCTGTTGTTGTATTTCTGTGGTTTTGAGATATAACCAGTTCCTGTTGTTGTATTTCTGTGGTTTTGAGATCTAACCAGTTCCTGTTGTTGTATTTCTGTGGTTTTGAGATATAACCAGTTCCTGTTGTTGTATTTCTGTGGTTTTGAGATATAACCAGTTCCTGTTGTTGTATTTCTGTGGTTTTGAGATATAACCAGTTCCTGTTGTTGTATTTCTGTGGTTTTGAGGTATAACCAGTTCCTGTTGTTGTATTTCTGTGGTTTTGAGATATAACCAGTTCCTGTTGTTGTATTTCTGTGGTTTTGAGATATAACCAGTTCCTGTTGTTGTATTTCTGTGGTTTTGAGATATAACCAGTTCCTGTTGTTGTATTTCTGTGGTTTTGAGATATAACCAGTTCCTGTTGTTGTATTTCTGTGGTTTTGATCTAACCAGTTTGTTGTTGTATTTCTGTATAACCAGTTCCTGTTGTTGTATTTCTGTGGTTTTGAGATATAACCAGTTCCTGTTGTTGTATTTCTGTGGTTTTGAGATATAACCAGTTCCTGTTGTTGTATAACCAGTTCCTGTGGTTCTGTGGAGATATAACCAGTTCCTGTTGTTGTATTTCTGTGGTTTTGAGATATAACCAGTTCCTGTTGTTGTATTTCTGTGGTTTTGAGATCTAACCAGTTCCTTGTTGTTGTATTTCTGTGGTTTTGAGATATAACCAGTTCCTGTTGTTGTATTTCTGTGGTTTTGAGATCTAACCAGTTCCTGTTGTTGTATTTCTGTGGTTTTGAGATCTAACCAGTTCCTGTTGTTGTATTTCTGTGGTTTTGAGATATAACCAGTTCCTGTTGTTGTATTTCTGTGGTTTTGAGATATAACCAGTTCCTGTTGTTGTATTTCTGTGGTTTTGAGATATAACCAGTTCCTGTTGTTGTATTTCTGTGGTTTTGAGATCTAACCAGTTCCTGTTGTATTTCTGTGGTTTTGAGATCTAACCAGTTCCTGTTGTTGTATTTCTGTGGTTTTGAGATCTAACCAGTTCCTGTTGTTGTATTTCTGTGGTTTTGAGATCTAACCAGTTCCTGTTGTTGTATTTCTGTGGTTTTGAGATATAACCAGTTCCTGTTGTTGTATTTCTGTGGTTTTGAGATCTAACCAGTTCCTGTTGTTGTATTTCTGTGGTTTTGAGATATAACCAGTTCCTGTTGTTGTATTTCTGTGGTTTTGAGATATAACCAGTTCCTGTTGTTGTATTTCTGTGGTTTTGAGATATAACCAGTTCCTGTTGTTGTATTTCTGTGGTTTTGAGATATAACCAGTTCCTGTTGTTGTATTTCTGTGGTTTTGAGATCTAACCAGTTCCTGTTGTTGTATTTCTGTGGTTTTGAGGTATAACCAGTTCCTGTTGTTGTATTTCTGTGGTTTTGAGATCTAACCAGTTCCTGTTGTTGTATTTCTGTGGTTTTGAGATATAACCAGTTCCTGTTGTTGTATTTCTGTGGTTTTGAGATATAACCAGTTCCTGTTGTTGTATTTCTGTGGTTTTGAGATATAACCAGTTCCTGTTGTTGTATTTCTGTGGTTTTGAGATATAACCAGTTCCTGTTGTTGTATTTCTGTGGTTTTGAGATCTAACCAGTTCCTGTTGTTGTATTTCTGTGGTTTTGAGATATAACCAGTTCCTGTTGTTGTATTTCTGTGGTTTTGAGATATAACCAGTTCCTGTTGTTGTATTTCTGTGGTTTTGAGATCTAACCAGTTCCTGTTGTTGTATTTCTGTGGTTTTGAGATATAACCAGTTCCTGTTGTTGTATTTCTGTGGTTTTGAGATATAACCAGTTCCCTGTTGTTGTATTTCTGTGGTTTTGAGATATAACCAGTTCCTGTTGTTGTATTTCTGTGGTTTTGAGATCTAACCAGCTCCTGTTGTTGTATTTCTGTGGTTTTGAGATATAACCAGTTCCTGTTGTTGTATTTCTGTGGTTTTGAGATATAACCAGTTCCTGTTGTTGTATTTCTGTGGTTTTGAGATATAACCAGTTCCTGTTGTTGTATTTCTGTGGTTTTGATATAACCAGTATTTCTGTGGTTTTCTAACCAGTTCCTGTTGTTGTATTTCTGTGGTTTTGAGATCTAACCAGTTCCTGTTGTATTTCTGTGGTTTTGAGATATAACCAGTTCCTGTTGTTGTATTTCTGTGGTTTTGAGATATAACCAGTTCCTGTTGTTGTATTTCTGTGGTTTTGAGATATAACCAGTTCCTGTTGTTGTATTTCTGTGGTTTTGAGATATAACCAGTTCCTGGTTTTGTAACCAGTTCCTGTTGTTGTATTTCTGTGGTTTTGTAGATATAACCAGTTCCTGTTGTTGTATTTCTGTGGTTTTGAGATATAACCAGTTCCTGTTGTTGTATTTCTGTGGTTTTGAGATCTAACCAGTTCCTGTTGTTGTATTTCTGTGGTTTTGAGATATAACCAGTTCCTGTTGTTGTATTTCTGTGGTTTTGAGATCTAACCAGTTCCTGTTGTTGTATTTCTGTGGTTTTGAGATATAACCAGTTCCTGTTGTTGTATTTCTGTGGTTTTGAGATATAACCAGTTCCTGTTGTTGTATTTCTGTGGTTTTGAGATATAACCAGTTCCTGTTGTTGTATTTCTGTGGTTTTGAGATATAACCAGTTCCTGTTGTTGTATTTCTGTGGTTTTGAGATCTAACCAGTTCCTGTTGTTGGTATTTCTGTGGTTTTGAGATATAACCAGTTCCTGTTGTTGTATTTCTGTGGTTTTGAGATATAACCAGTTCCTGTTGTTGTATTTCTGTGGTTTTGAGTTTAACCAGTTGCCTGTTTTGTGTTTTCATTTGTTTTGGTTACTTACCAGTAAAATTGTTTGCAAATCCTCCATTGATATGAAAAGAAATTAAACAACAGGAGTTTACTTTTTCCAGTTTATTGGAAACCATTCATTTCACAAAAATTTAGAATTGGACGGCCGATGATATGATACAGAAAGATGTATGCAATTTGTTACCATTATATTTAATAGTACCATTTTAATATGAATCACAGATCTTAAACTACATATCTTTATCAGTATGCAGTTTTCACATGTAAAACCAGCTTGCAAAACTACAACACCTATGACCGAGAGAAAATTGAAATCATCACAACCGAGAATAGATGGCCAGAAATTCACATACAAAAATGTACATGTGTATTTATAAAATGCAAGCACTAGTACAAAAGAAAGTCAAAAAAGATCATTTGTCTTCAGGTCTTCAGTTATATTAAATATATAGATGAAGAGGTACATGGATTTCTTATTTACAAATAGAGCAACAACCATTCCATTAAACACCCTTCATAGCTTCCAAGTTTCTAAAACAAGGAATAATAGAAATTCCTGAGGAAGTTTTGAACAAATCCTCAAGGAACTTTATCTCTCATAAAAACAGCAACAGTAACTTCTAATCCTCAGACATTTTCTCCTATAGTATCAGCAAGGCATGTGCACAAGAATGAAGAGATTCTGAAACATCAGTTGTGGACGGCAGTGCTTAACGTAAAAAGGAAATCTAACATCTGACAACAAAAATGAGAAAAAACATCATCAGTATCTACAGAGATCATTAGACACGCATATCTACAGACATCATTAGACACGCATATCTACAGACATCATTAGACACGCATATCTACAGACATCATTAGACACGCATATCTACAGACATCATTAGACACGCATATCTACAGACATCATTAGACACGCATATCTACAGACATCATTAGACACGCATATCTACAGACATCATTAGACACGCATATCTACAGACATCATTAGACACGCATATCTACAGAGATCATTAGACACGCATATCTACAGACATCATTAGACAGGCATATCTACAGACATCATTAGACACGCATATCTACAGAGATCATTAGACACGCATATCTACAGACATCATTAGACACGCATATCTACAGACATCATTAGACACGCATATCTACAGACATCATTAGACACGCATATCTACAGACATCATTAGACACGCATATCTACAGACATCATTAGACACGCATATCTACAGACATCATTAGACACGCATATCTACAGACATCATTAGACACGCATATCTACAGACATCATTAGACACGCATATCTACAGACATCATTAGACACGCATATCTACAGACATCATTAGACACGCATATCTACAGACATCATTAGACACGCATATCTACAGAGATCATTAGACACGCATATCTACAGACATCATTAGACACGCATATCTACAGAGATCATTAGACACGCATATCTACAGACATCATTAGACACGCATATCTACAGACATCATTAGACACGCATATCTACAGAGATCAGTGGACACAGGTATCTACAGACATCAGTAGACACAGGTATCTACAATCACCAGTAGACACAGGTATCTACAGACTCCAGTAGACACATGTAACTACAGACATCAGTAGACACATGTAACTACAGACATCCGTGGGCACACCTAACTATGGACATCAGTGGACACATGTAAGTATAGACGTCAGTGGACACATGTAAGAACAGACGTCAGTGGACACATCTAACTATGGACATCAGTGGACACATGTAAGTACAGATGTCACTTGTGAAACATATTGTGTACTCTAGCTTCATCTGTAGATTCACATAATCACAGTTTTCGATATGATCCCTTTGCAACACACAATTGCTTAGTCACCTAAACAATGATTAAACAAACTTAAGAATTATTGGCTAACTGCTTATAGAAAATAATATGAAGAAAATGCCTTTATTTTCAATTTTTTTAAAATGTAATGAATAATGAAAAAAAGGGAAAAAATAACAATTCTGATTCCTTATGCTGAAAAGAGTGATAATTATCAAACAAAATGAAAACTATGATGGGGACTTAGATATGGTCTTTAAATAATGTCATTACTTAACAGACAAGCATTGTTTACCTACTACAGAAAACTTCTCAATATCAACAGTTAACAAAATTACAAAAAATATCAAGCCAACTGGACCATCAAATGATAATTTACAGAATGTATGACATGACAGTAAACAGCACTGACACTAACAAATGTCAATCCCACACCAGTACTGGATTTTGTTTATTTCTTCAAGGAAAAGAAAAATGATAGTTTCCTGAAGCAATCTATCACACGGTATTTACTGCAACACATACTGCTTAAAATTATGAAACTAAACAATAAATTAAAAACATTACACATAAAAAACCTGGTATTAAAAACAATTTAGTACTGTATATGTATATTGATGATATGTAGCAACACAGTGATATCGTTAGTTATTGATCTGGTGCACATTGATGAGTAGGAGGAATACCAATCAGTCATATAAAGCTAATAGTTATATGGAATGTATTCGTAGCCTAGAATATTTCCAAAATATAATTTACACAATATTATAATTCATCTTATTGCTTCTACATCACAGCTTGATAGTATGGCAACATCACCTTGTACATGATTTTATTACTAGTAAAACGTAGACATATCTATGTAATCAGTGACTCTATGACACACATGGTCTGTCAGACCATAAAGTCACAATCTAATTGTACATCTCACCATCAAAACACTATAGTGTGATAACTAGCATGGTAGTGATACTGCTAACATATCTCCAACAGTGAATAACACCTTGTCAATGGCAGGTCTTGTTAACATGGAGAAAGCTCAGATCTTTTATTCTTGAATTAAATTCCTAGTTTGATGGAGCGTTTGCTTGGATCCTTTTTGAACTCTTTGCCAAGAGTGTAAGTACTTGAGTGTATGTTGTAGAAATCCAGGAAACCTCTACAAATTTCCACGTCATGTTCCACACAAAAGAGTTGTCTGTCATTAAATTAGTTCAATACAATTGAGTGTTTATCATACATCATCTCCTCCTGAGAACATATTGTCTACTTCCTCTTCTACTACCTCACCATCCTCCTCCTCCCCACCCCCTCCATATATGCCATTCATCTTGCTAGTGATCGTCCTACTGAGAGGAATGTCTAGTGCCCGGTGAACTGATTCTATTGTTCTCATATTAACATAGTATGCCATATTTAGAGCTGGTATTCGACTCTTCATCTCTTCCATTGCAGCATATGCCTGAAATTGCATAACATTACATTAATTATTAGACATTAATTAAAACAAAAACCAAGAAAAATATTATGTGAGATATCTATATCATGGCATCACCATAAAAAAAACTTTCCGGTAATTCCATGAGTACTAATCAGCCTTGATATTTTAATTCAATAAAAACTTCTTTTTTTTTATTATGAACATTTTTTAAACAAAGGAAGAAGTTTCAGCTTACCGCCTTCCAGCGTTCTCTTCTAGCATAATGTTCAATGATGAGACCATAGACATCTCCCATTCGGACTGAATCATCTAGATTTGGTTCCTCCAGTAACACTTGGCATTGTTTGATAGCATCCTCAGGATTTTCATCATATGCCCTGTCAAACATGTCATATGTAAATTATTAATTCAATCTTGACGACAAGAGCACGACAAAGGGATGCAGAATATAGCCGTGTGACCCTAATTTTGTTTGTCTCTAAAAAGGGAAAAAGAAAATCTGTAAAAGGTGGAGTGAAGTCGTAGACATAAACCCAACCCCTCCCCCACCCCTACGCCCCCAAGGATTACTTGAAAAAAAAGTTTGAAACAGGTAAAAAACAAACTAAATCAATCATGTCATTGTTAGTCCCCACTCATGCACCAAAAACTTTATCAGAAAACAATGCCCCAAAAACACAGTCTCAAGCTTAAAGAAATAGAAACTAGATGGCTGACCAATACCCCCCGCACACTGCAACGAGTCAATGGATAAGTTAAAGTGTTATTCTGAGAGTAATTGACATATTCTGCATGTGCCTGCATTTCTGGAAATCAGAAGGGGTGGAATACATGTTGTTCATGATCAAAAGAGTCTTGCAATACTTACATCTTTATTGAAGTAATATTTTCCACTGAAGGGCCACAGAGACAAAAAAATGTTTTTGATCTACACTAAACACTCATGTTTGTCATGGCAACGAAACCTATTTTATAATGTTTGGCATCCCCTAATAACCCTATATACCAAATTTGGTCAAAATTGGACAATATCTAAATTTTGATCAATCAGAGGCCAGGATTGTGTTTCCGCGGTAACAGTTTGGGAAACGTCTAATATGTCCAATTATTGGCCTTACTGAATTACATCTTTTTACTAAGTTTGAATACAATCGGTCAAATAACTGAGAAGTTATGGACATTTATTAGAAAACTTGTTTCTAATGACCAGTTACCATGACAACCAAAATTTTCAAAAAAAGAAAGGGGCATGCATATCTACATATGATCCTTAATATTCCTGTAAAGTTTCATCAAAATCGGTTCACAGGTTTAGGAGGAGTTAGCAGGACAAAATGTGTCTACAGACAGACGGACGGACACCTAGACGGACGGACAGACGGACAACCTGATTCCAGTATACCCCCCTAACTTCGTTGCGGGGGGTATAATAATCTTTCTATAAATGTAATCCATGATTTATAGATCTGACACAAAAAGTTAGAGTTGTACCACTAAACAATAAACCACTAAGAAACCTAGAACTTTAAAACCCAATTGTTGTTGAATTTCATTGGATAAAATCTTACCCTATCATCCTACACAAAAGATTATACAAGATCATCCAATAGCTTACCCTACCTCCCTCCACATGATTGTTATACAAGGCAGAATAAGGATATAAACTGCAGGGTATGCCAGGTAGAACAAGGGCTGAACCTGGATGGTAAAGACAATCAGGTTTATATATAAATGTTTGTTCTTTAAACTCAAAATATATCGTAACTTACCTTCTAGCTGTCACAAATTTCTTAATGAGAGTAATCTTGTTCTTGAGGCGAGAGAGTTTCTCCTCTTGTAGCATTTCGTCACTCATCTTTGTCTTACTTAAACACTTGTAGGCCTCGCCCAGAGCACCCAAGGCCTTGTCATAGTTCTGGTACTCATCGATCTCCACCTGCAGACCACATACAATTCATCACATATAAAGAATGGAATAAAGAATGTGCTTTTATTTATCATTGCAAAGATTTCCTGATTACTTCAAAATAGGAAAAGCGACAATGTGAATCCACATTTGTTAAACGCTTCTAATTGTGGAGAACCATCATATTTGTTTTGAGCAATATAAGGTACAATTGGTAGAAGGAATATTAGAACATAGACAAGTGTGTAACATTTTCCTGAGGAGTCATAACGTAAGTAAGTAATCAATACTATAGTGTGAAGTGGGTCTGTATAGAACGGACCCCAAGTGGGTTGTAAAAATTCCTCCTTACCTGAGCACAAGCATCATAGAATGCTGCGAGTGAGTCGAGTGCTCTCCCTTTGGTATAGAAGCCAATAATATTTTTCATTATTTCTGGGTCTTTTCTCCAATCCAATGACTGGAGATAATTGGCGGCCATTACATAGATCTCCTTTTGTCTTGATACACCAGCGAAAAAAGTAATCTTCTCAGTGTCTCCAGATTTCAGCAGAGCTTTCATAGCCTGTAACACAGTCATATTATATCATATAAACGGATTAGATACAAACAAGATATTACTTCACTATACAGAATTACAATAATTGTCAACACTATTTCACCAAACCAACTTTCAGTGTGTCACACTGTCAATGGTATATCAATAGGTTTTAATATTACTCAAACACAGAATCTTCTCAGCCACATATTTTGACTATATGACTGAAAATATGATTAATTCTGGTGACCTCGATGATATATCAACATAACAAATAGATTTTTTTTTCTTGTGATGAAGGTAAAGTCACTGACCTTGATTTTGTTGCCTGCCTGTGTGAACTTCTTTGTAGCAAGATGATACTGGCCTTGGTGCATGCACACCTCAGCAATGGCTTCCAGGATTTTCACCCGCTCCATGGTATCACCCCCCATATCATCTTTGTGAGGGGTGAGCTTCTCCGCTAGGTCTTCAGTGATTTCCACATGCTGGTCCATACAGATCTTCAGAGCTTCCCAGTACTGAAACAGGATGGTTATAACTCAGCAACACAAATCACATTACACTAACTCTGCAAGATTCCAAGTACTGTAATCAATGGTCCTTTATCTTAAATCAAGACAGTTAATTAACTACATAGATCAAGTGTCTTCACTACCATAAATATATAATGAGATTTTGAATGATTGTCAAATTCAAATAGGAACAGTTACGTTAATAGGACACTGAAGCTTGAATTGTGCATCCTTATATCAGTAAACGACAGAAACTTCAGCAGTTTTAGACTTCTAATTCCATTAATTCATTTTCAATGGCTTCCTCCATTTCATACTGCACTACAAAACAAGAAGGGCAGGTAACCATGTAAATGTTTCAATGGTCAGGCCCTGTCATGGTGTACAGAGGAAAGACATAGTATTTTAACTGTGACACACCTTTTTACCGATAGCAAGGAGATCCACCGCCTTATCATACTGGCCGTTATCCATGAAGAAGTCACCACACCTCTGTAATAATTCAGGATCTGCTCTCTCGTCCAAATCCCCAGAAATCATCTGTAAAGCTCCAAACTGTTTGGATCGGAAGGACAGATCCAATGCTTTAGAGAAGTTTCCTGCCTGGAATTATGGAAAACATATTCAATATTTTATTCTGAAATGAAGCACACATCCATCCCCTGTAATTGTATAATAATTGCATGAAAAACATCAAAACAAATCATCAATGGTAATCATGACTAACACAATGGTAAAGTAGGAACTAAAGTAGGAAGATGGAGTGGGAACTGAACATGGTTGGTGGAGTGGGAACTAAACATGGGTGATGGAGTGGGAACTAAACATGGTTGGTGGAGTGGGAACTAAACATGGTTGGTGGAGTGGGAACTGAACATGGGTGATGGAGTGGGAACTAAACAGGGAAGGTGGAGTTGGAACTAACACAGGTGGTGGAGTGTGACCTAAACATGGCTGTTGGAATAGGAATTAAACATGGGCAGTGGAGTTGGAACTAAACATGGTTGGTGGAGTGGGAACTAAACATGGGTGGTGGAGTGGAACTAACATGGGTGGTGGAGTGGGAACTTACATAGATGGTTGAGTGGGAACTAAACATGGGCGGTGGAGTGGGAACTAACATGGGTGGTGGAGTGGGAACTAAACATGGGTGGTGGAAAGGGAACAAACATATGTGGTGGAGTGGGAACTAAACATTGCTGGTGGAGTGGGAACTAATATAGGTGGTGGAGTGGGAACTAAACATGTTTGGTGGAGTGGGAACTAACATAGATGGTGGAGTGGGAACTAAACATGTTTGGTGGAGTGGGAACTAACATAGGTGGTGGAGTGGGAACTAAACATGGTTGGTGGAGTGGGAACTAAACATGGTTGGTGGAGTGGGAACTAACATAGGTGGTGGAGTGGGAACTAAACATGGTTGGTGGAGTGGGAACTAAACATGGTTGGTGGAGTGGGAACTAAACATGGTTGGTGGAGTGGGAACTAACATAGGTGGTGGAGTGGGAACTAAACATGTTTGGTGGAGTGGGAACTAACACAGATGGTGGAGTGGGAACTAAACATGGTTGGTGGATTGGGAACTAACATGGGTGGTGGAGTGTGAAGTAAACATGGGTGGTGGAGTGGGAACTAAACATTGGTGGTGGATTGGGAACTAACATGGGTGGTGGAGTGTGAAGTAAACATGGGTGGTGGAGTGGGAACTAAACATGGTTGGTGGATTGGGAACTAACATGGGTGGTGGAGTGTGAAGTAAACATGGGTGGTGGAGTGGGAACTAACATAGATGGTGGAGTTGGAACTAAACATGGTTGGTGGAGTGGAAACTAACATGGGTGGTGGAGTGTGAAGTAAATATGGGTGGTGGAGTGGGAACTAAACATGGGTGGTGGAGTGGGAACTAAACATAGATTACTCTAGGTTTCCTTCCACTTTTACATCCTGGGCACACTTCCACTCAGAACTACATACAGCTTATTTCTTAGATGTTTTATGAAGAAAAAGACACTAGCATTTTGTCAATAACTTAAAACACCCAACCATGTCTTATCCCTTCTATACAACATACCTTATGATAAAGCATGACTGCCTTGTCCTGAGATCCTTGTTTCTGTTCATAGTAGCGAGCAGCCTCCATCATGTCTTCAGGACGTCCAAGTAATGCCAGATTCAGTAGCTGATCTTCATAACCATGTTCCTACATAAATGATAAAACCTAATGAAGTTCTGTGTTGTGTTGTTGGGAGAACTTAAGCTTACAATAGATTGAAGTGAAAGCACAAAACTTATTCTGAAAAGTCCTGCCTATTGGTTGTACATGTTCTGGAATCACCTGCTAGCCTGGCCGTTCCAATTTTTCAACATTTAACAGAAAGTAAGATTTCAGTGATCATGAGTTTAAATAAAGTATCAGTAATTTATGAGGAGCAAGTGTATGTATTCATAAACAGGCATGTAGAGATACGATTTTGATGGTAGGAAATACAGCCTGGAGAATTCAAAACATTGTTACAGGGCTTAAACTCATTTCAAAAGGCTTGACACAAACAGTATCACATCACTAGGTTGGTTCTTTTCTCATTAACTAACAACTTTGGTCCCCCAAAAGTCTTTTTGAAAGTACAATTTACATATAACCATAGTCCAATAGCTGAAACTAACAGAGTAACAATTTCAAAGTCCAATAAAACCCTACTTCCACAAACCAGAATTACTGTAATAACCCCTACTCTTGACTGTGGCCCTATATATTTCTGTTTTTACATTGAATTTCTTAAACCGTTATTCATCGAATACCCAGTATTCCTTTACGTCAGACAGCAGATAATTATGGGATAGTGCAAACATGAATATATACATGTACTGCCATACTGTTACATAATGCAATTTTTTTATTGAGACATTTCACACACAAAATCAAAAAAAAATCAACCAATGTTCATGCAGAAGTTTGATTTATGGCCGAGTGTAAAACCAAATTACAGAATGGCCCATGTTTAACTGATTGAGGGTATGAATGAACTAGCCGAGGCAATTCTCAGTTCTTTTAGCACAGAATATGAACTAATAACAAAGCATGGACTCAACATTTTATCATCATTGGAAGTGGTAGAACTAAGATCATGCAAAAATAATTATCATTATACTGTCAATATCTGTGATATTCTTTCTGCATATTATATCTTAATTTTGCTGTAATTACCATAAAATTTGCCATAATAATGTAAATGATAAATTTTTCAGACTTTTCACCAATGAAATCTCAAGATCAGTTAGTGAAAACTTCAGCACATTTATAAATGGAATGATCAAGTAACAGAGTATTGACTGAAATGTCATTCCCAGACACTTAGCATTCCTGGATGATCATTAACTGATGGTCTATGGTGAACTTCTAATTACTATCCAATTACTAATTACCTAAAGCTGCTGACATGGTCCCAAGAAAAAAGATTCAGCAGCGTTTTATTGTAATATCATGAAGAATACAAACTTCCTTACTTTACACAGTCGAATAGCATTTCCATAAGCCTGTGCCCGCTGGAAAAAGTGAATTGCTTCTTTGATCAAATCCTGGTTTTCATACTGTCTACCTAAGTGGTAGCAGGCAGCCCTGTCTCCTGTCTCATTACAGATTTCTGATGCCTGTAAAACAATATAAAACTCACTGCCTTTTATAGATCATTTAGTGTAACAATAAATTCATTGAAAGATTATACCATTAAAATATTCTACTTTTATGACCCAATGTTGGACTTCTTGGGTATAGTATTTCTAAACTAGATGTGACATGTTTTTTATAAGACAAGCTACTCAACAGATATCAACTACGGTATTTAAAGTTAAAAACCCTGAAACAAAGCCTTAATTACATAGAGCCAGGTACATTCATTATGCCCCCTTTTTATCAAACATTCACCTACAGAAGATATTAAACTAGAGACATGTCTTGATTCATGATAAATAAGTACCTTGTCCATTTTGCCACAATAGCAGTAGACCCTGACCAGTGAGAGAAAATCTTGGGCAGTCTCGTAGTACTGTAAGGCAGCATCCATCTCCCCTGTACTTTCCATGTACTGAGCCCACCACTTATGTAGTGCCCTAAAATACATGTACACGTCATCAGCATTCTCAGAGTTAGCAGTAGAAAATCAAGTAATTCACACAGAGTTTGAAAGTAAAATTTTCTTCTCCTTTGTTATTGTATCATAAAATATAATTTGATTCTTACAAAAACGGGGTTGAGACATAATCATGGTACATACTTGTCTTTATGCCGACCGATGTATTGTTCCAATGCCTCAGGTTCATCAAATAACATCCTTGGAACTTCAAAGCGGTGTGTGTCTGATTTCTCATAACTGTTAATGTAGAGTTTCAAATTTATGACAAAATATTTACAATGTAATGAATCCAAGAGACAAAGGAATAAAGGTTTAAGAAAAATAATCACATTCTAAATCACAAAAATCAGGAAAATGACAAGCATTCAGTGTTTCACTACCTAAGTTTCTTATTAAAAGTTTATCTTCTTAACTGTTAATTGGTATTAAATGAAATAGTCCAAAAGACATAGACATCAGGTTATAAAACTAGCTCATTTTCTTAAATCATAATGTAACTCATGTTATCTTAATGTACAATGTTAACACATATTATCTGAATGTACAATATTAACACATATTATCTTAATGTATAATGTTAACACATATTATCTTAATGTAAAATGTTAACACATATTACAGTATCTTAAAGTACAATGTTAACACATACTATCTTAATGTACAATGTTAACACATATTATCTTAATGTACAATGTTAACACATATTACAGTATCTTAATGTACAATGTTAACATATACTATCTTCATGTACAATGTTAACACATATCCATATGTATAATTTTATCAAATATTTTCTATGTAATCAGTCTTGATTTCTTTCTTTCTCCTTGTGTTCATTACAAAATCATGTAATAGTAAGAAATTTATGTATACTATATAACAAGGCCTAGTCTTATTTCAACAAGTCTTATCAAGCTAATGATAAGGAGCTCATTAAAACACTGACCACCAAAATAGACTTACTTTGGTATAGCATCAGAGTAGTCTCCCCTGACTTCCAGATGTTTTGCATGATTATAATATGTGGCTCTAAGATGAATGCGATCATACATTTCTGCTGTTTCTAATGCCTGGAGAGAAAATAAAACTTGTTATTCATTCCTGGGATGATCTGAAGATTTTTTTATTGGACAACTACGTATTAATAATACATAATCTAATATAATCATTTCATGTATGTATGAGGATTTATTAGCTTTTAAAAGAATGTTTACTACCAGGTTTTTATAAATCAATGGTGTCCTTACCTTAATCCACTGGCCTGAAGATTGATAGAACTCATTAAGTAAATCATATCGCTTACAGTTTTTCAGCAATCTCTCTGCATCTTCCTACAAATCCAACACAAAGAGACATTATGACTGTACAACAACAAAGTTAAACATACTGAATAATTTGTCCATTTTCCATACAGTTCCTGAGTTATTACTTCCCCAGAATTAAATCCATTGCTGAAGCATACTTATTTTGACCGTATAACTGATTTTTTTATTGTTGTCTTTTACTTGTGCTAATATCAATAACAAAAGATATCTTAATAAATTTAGTATGTACATTTTTTTTGTTTTTTATTGGTATCTGCATTACCTCCCCTGCTGGTATTAAAATCAAACACGAGAGTAGATTATTTGTCAGGGTACAACTGTACAACTGTCAGTGCACAAGATCCCTTATGTATAATGTGAAAGTTGTGTATGATTAGTAGACTTAAATACTCAAACTAAACATGTTTCTCATAATAATTTTCAAATTGGATATCAAAAGTGAATTGTGGCTTTTGTCATAGAGTTCAATAATGCCTGCTGATGAAAAAACAACCTCTCCCCACTCCCCCTCAAAAAACAATAGCAATAATAATAAAAAAAACAACTTGAAATTGTATAATTAAACAATACTCAACAGAAGTTGTAATAAGGAAAAAATAATTTAGTAATGGTTTTGAATCAGGTCCTTACCTTCAGTCCAAGCTGCATGGCAAGGACTGCTACCTTGGCATCCAGTTCTGGCTCTTTCATGGCTTCCCGGAGAGCTTTAGCACCGCGGGCATGGCCCATGTTGCCCAGACAAACACTGGCCACATCAAGACGCCGGCTCTTTACGCACATTTTGGCCATATTCTCCCACACTGATTCACTATTTAAACACATGCAAATAAGATGTGATTAATCGCCAGAAGATACCATATACAATCTTCTAACTTCATATAATTGAATAGTCCTTACAGATTTGGAGGTAAGAAAAACTCTTAACACAGAATGAATTGCAACTTTCAAAGAAATGACATTTTAACAATAAATCATCAAAAGAAATGTATTTTCGGGCTGTAGGAGGAGAATAAATTGTTATGAAATAAAATGCAAACTGACCTCTGCAAAAACCGTAAACATCAATCCAAAAGTTCAAGGGATATCACTTGTGCTGGTTTTCAATTGGCCGGTATGGTAACAGATAGCTAACCTTAGCGGTATGGTAACAGATAGCTAACCTTACAGTATGGTAACAGATAGCTAACCTTAGCGGTATGGTAACAGATAGCTAACCTAGCAGTATGGTAACAGATAGCTAACCTTAGCGGTATGGTAACTGATAGCTAACCTTAGCAGTATGGTAACAGATAGCTATCCTAGCAGTATGGTAACAGATAGCTAACCTTAGCGGTATGGTAACAGATAGCTAACCTAGCAGTATGGTAACAGATAGCTAACCTTAGCAGTATGGTAACAGATAGCTAACCTTTTAATGAGTTTGATGGATTTAAAAGCCTCGTCCATGTTGCCAATGGTAAGATAGTAGCTGAAGTTCATCATAGCCTCCCTCGTGTTCTTGTCACTGTTTTCCAGCCCTACAAAGTCACGCATGGTTTTCCTGGCCACCAGTTTTGGTTGTATAACAGTGTCAGCCTTTATGAGATTTTCTGGCTGTGGAGCATCATCCTTCTCCTGTTCTTCCTCTTTAAGATTTTCAGACTGTCGACAAAAATAGGAGGTTATACTAGAGTCTCAATATGTTATAAGACATTGACAAAATGTTAATTTCATTTAATGTTTTCTCATTTACTTCAATGTAAATAACTCTTATCAGTCATACCTTCTTGATGAAATAGTAATAGGGCACCTCTATGCCCAGCAGGGCCTGAAAATGCTCCGGCATTTGGAAGCTGTCCTGGATGAGGATGCCGTTCTCTGGTGTACAGAACAGCGACACAAGCATCACCTCTACCTGTTAGAATATTCACATCATCAGATTTAGCATACTGCTTCCTTCATTTTATTTATCAAAATCCAAATGATCGGTCAAAACAATGACAGACACAACTTAATTAAGACTTGAAAATAATCACTGTTATACAAAATAATTAAATGGCACTCCTTGAACAAAACAGCTTGTGATGATGGTTAAAATAAACTCTTGACCAACAAGATGAGGATAGAATTAGAACTGATGGACTTACTGGTCCCTCCTCCACAGCCTTAGTCAGAGAGTGACGTTTCTTTTCCTCCTTTTCTTTCTTCTCCACAGCACTAGCCATCACCTTGGCCTCACACACGATCAATTTGGTGTCATGGGGATCCCAGTAATGGGTCATAGGGTACCGTCCAGCTATGTCAGCAGCTGCCTGGTTCTTCCCCCTGGGTAACAAACATTTATATCATAATTATAGAAAAATAATTGGCAGCCAAAAATCAACTTCAACATAATTTTACTAAAAAGAAATTGCATCTTTAATCTACCACTGAGATAGAAATACAATGATACCTGTAACTGAAAGTCAACGGCTGACTAATACCCCCACTCCCTGTCATTTGCACAGACACTGTAATTTGAACATATTTACAAATTTACACTAAATATTGTATACATATTTAAATTCTAACTTGATGAACTCAAAAGAAATGAGATAGGGGAAGTCAATTTTAAGAAGTGAAATTTATGATAAAAGTTATTGCAATACATGTATCTTAAATTTATGTTACTACTGGTATAAATAAGCCATGGGAAAACCAATGAGATGAGGAAATAATCACCACAGTATATACTGATCAGTTACCATGATACAGTTGCTATGGCAACATAATGGTTTTCTGGGGAAAAAATGTTGCATGCACATCCCTATATTGTCACTATCATTACTCATGGAAATTGACCCACTAGTTTAGGTGGAGTTGTCCTGACAAAATTTTTGATGAAAAATAAAATTTATATGACCAGTTACCGAGGCAACCACACATTTTTCTGTTTAAAAAGGGATGCTTGCACATTTACACATGTTGTAAAAACAAAACTGATACATTAGTTCAGGAGAACTTGTCCACACAAAATTTTCTAACAAAATCCTATTTATACTTTTTTGGGGGAAACAAAAGGATGCATGCACATCTATACATGGTCCCCAACATTCCTGTATAATTTCATTGAAATCAATCCTGTAGTTTAGGAGAAGTTATCTGAACATTTTTTTTTTATGAAACAGACGGATAGACAGACTGAAGGATAAACTGATTTCAGTATACCCCCCAACTTTGTTGCAGGGGTATAATAAGAGATGAATTGAGAATATCTTGTGATGATATAATGAGTATGATACTTTTACAGCGATGTGCTAAAGCTGAGTGCTGTGAACAATGATGAATACCTTTCTGCATCATTTGTATCCCCCTCCACACCTTCTATCTGTTCTGGGGGAAAGTCATCCTGTTCTCCACGCCCACTCTCAAAGTTGAAGTAAGAGACAATATCTGACTCCACGTCCCAAAAGTAAAGTTTAGGATCTGCATGGTTTGAATTCTGAAAAAAAAATGTGACAAGAAATCTTCATTTCAACATTACATCATCTAATTCAAACTTCTAACGTTAACAGTCATAACACTGAACATATCAAGATGTGTTATCTACTCGGTAAGTATTGTTAATCATCTGTCTTAAGTCTGACAACATGTACAAAGGTAACATCTTCACCGTGTTATGTTGGTAGGATACAGGTTTCCTGTTTCCATGACTCTTCCTATCACTAAGCACTGTCTCATTGACCAATGTCAGTGTTCCAATGAATCTCCACACATAGTACATACGTACTGATTGTAACGATACCTTAATATGGTTGATCACTAACAATGTTATCACTCACATTTTTTACGAGGACGCTGACTTTGGATCCGTTAGAGTTACACCTTGCAGAAATGATTCCATTAAAACCAGGAATAACATCCCCTAAATTCTTTGGTTGGCTGGTTGGCTTAGCTTCTCTGTAAAATAGGGAATGATAATTAAATAATTACATTTTGTATTGCACATCAAAAATGTTTTGTTAAAAAATTTAGCTAAATATTTCAAACGTATTTAATGTTGAAATTCCTAAAATTATGCATGAATTTCACTATGGCTTGTTCATGAAGAATGTAAATAAACTTATGAGACATTACCTCCTAGATAAATCATACACACGGACCACTCCATTGTCTGTTGCTATAACTAGGGATGTACCACATACATCCAAACTGACAGGCTGGCCCTCAGCATCAGAGAAGTTGATGACTTGCTTCACGGTACCCTACAATAGAAATATTTACTGTAACAGTACAAATTTAAAACCTAGTCCTACAATTTAACAGAGGTACCCTACAATAGAAATTTCAACTTTTACAGTAGAAACAGAGTTAATACAGAGTCTTACATTTTTACAGATGTAACCAAATAACAAGAGATTATTGAATACAACAGGATAGGATGGATGGACATTGGTAACACTATATGTTCCTAGTGGCATGTAAAAGAACTAGTCATTTTACCCTTGTATATTAAATAAGTAAGCATTTCAAAAAAATGAACAATTTCCTTTATAAGTTTCTATTTCATCCAAAGGTGACCTACCTGGTGAGTGCGAACCTGAACCTTGCCAATTTCAACACAGTAAACATTTTGTTCATAAAGTCGCACCTCCATGGTCTCTGAAGAAAAGGTTCCTGTAAAACAATATAATACAGATACAATATTAAAGAGTTCAGACAGAAAAACAGAAAATAACTTCTAACAGCTGAGGTTTTTACACTCTTCCATATTCATTCCTGCTCCAAAGCTATTCAATATGATCAAAATAAAGATTTCTGACACAAAAATAACAAGTTACAAAAAGAAACCAGTTTTCCAAACTTTGCTAAAAAGATACTACATATATTACAAAAATGTACCTGCGCCCTTAATGATGGTTCTATCCTCTGAATATTCGTAAGTGATAACTTTCCGGCCATTCCACACTGCTAACGTATCCTGTAGAATAAATGACACATTTTCATCAGGACTCCTACAGGCTGTTGTAAAGGTGTGAACTCAAACTTAATGCCACTTTCTAGTATAGAACCATAAATTATAAGGAAAATTGATCAGAAGAAGCCTTAATTTGAACATTTTACAGTAAAATATTCCATTACCAAAACTAGAGTGATTATTCTGGACAGATCTGACTTTACCTTTGTTGTGCAGACACCTTTGACTTGTATCTCTGTCTTTAAGTCATGGTGTGTTCCTGTGGAAAACATCTCTAGAGCCAGGGAACTCGGACCAAACTGTACCACAGCTGTCTATCAACATAAATCAAGTAATTGAGACATGAACATTTTGCTGGTTTAGGGTTTGGTTTGCAGAAGTGAACAAAGTCCACTGGTAAGGGCTCAGATTTAATTAATCAGATTCCATTCTGCACATTAGATAAACATTCCATTCACTTTGAACATTTACTCTGTACATGTCTAACTTAACACAGAAAGGAACTTTACCAAGAAGAAATATTCAATATAGCGAGTAAAAACCAAAAAAAAAAAGTACAAAAAAAAACAAAATTGCAAAAACAATGATACACGACAATATATGATTTTACTCCAAAATAAATTATGTGTTGCCCAGCGATATCAGCACTATCTAACGTACACAAGGCTAAACCAGTTGGTTTGTCAATCAATATATTTGACGGACTAGTGTTTCTGTAGATCAGCATAATGAAATTATCTTTTCAAACAACACTTCATTGATGTTAACATTTTTTTGTAATACTGATTATAACCCTCTTGATCGGGTTAGGTATTGTTTACAAAGCCTAGGCCTACCTGTCTGTCACTCATGTGTTGGTTTCATGGTGTACTGGTCATTACTCAGGTCTTGATCATTCAGATAGGGCAGATTTTCAAAACTAATTTTCAGTATATCTTAATCATTTTGGACAGAAAATTAGTACAGTATTTGAAATTGAAAGGTATGGGTATTTTGTACATTGTCACTTTGTTTGGTTTCAAGAGGTGATTGGTTTTGAGGCGAATCAGTCTAGGGAAGTTGCACTATATTTGTCAGGGTTTTCCATAATTTTGTTAGTAGTAGGCTGTGTAGTGAAAGTAGGAGGCTGGTCAAGCAAGCTGACCCGAGCCGCAACGTGGCGAGGTGGGGGTGGCCTGCCGTGTACGTGTAGCCGTGTAGGCGGCCAAATGATCAAAGTAGCCGGTCAAATTGGCCGGCGACTAGCTCTTATGGAAAACCCTGTTTGTACAGATGGAATAAAATACACAGGTATGGAGTGGAAGAAAACAGTTAACCAATAACATGCAACAAGTTTCAAAAAGTTTTCTGTTATGTTGATAGTGATATATTTCTCTTTACAATGATTCTTTTCTAGGAGTAATGGCCGTCTTTCTTTCTGATGAAAGGTTGCTTACTCTTCCACCCACTTAGTTTGAAATAAAAAATAAATAACCAGTGTGGATGTACTGTAGATCTGTCACATTTTCACTTTTTCCCCTATTAACTTCCTGACTCCTAAGAGCTTAGAATAGGTCTACCTTATATGTCTTACTAAGGTTATAGTCACGGTCAATATCTAACTAGTTAACAGAGAGTTTGAACCATGGGGTCATGCTTTTGGTGAATAGGCAGCAGATGGTGCCTGATTAATCACCATACACAGTACAGTCAAATTATTTATTTTTCAATTATATAAAACCATTTAAAATTAAGTTGAAAATAATCCTGCCCTTCAGAAAAAGTAGAATCTTGAAGGCAAATATCTGTCAGTAAGGTAAATACTGACAGTGTATTTGTCATAATATCAGCTCATTGGTCCTGACTAGCACACTGATGCTGCAAATACAGAACTATCTTTAAAAATAACATTTTGTAACAAATGTTTCACTGACTTAAGTACATACTTACATTACATGATAACATACCTGACCAGAAAAACTTGAGCTCATTGTCTGTTCGTTGAGCATGAACACATTTGCAATGGTATTTACTGCTAGTAAATTCTTCTTTGATCCCCACTGAAAATCACAGACAAACACATCATAGGAGGGTCTAAATCCAATGTACAGATATCCCTGTTAAGATAATACTGACAGTTGAATTGAATCCCCATTCAGATTTTTTTTTTTTTTAAATCTAAGGAATACCTTGTGATTTGACAGTATAAAACATTTGATACAACAAAAAGTGCTTTGTGGTGATATCAACTTCTACTCATTTTGAAATAACAATTACAAATGATTTTCAAAAGGTTCTTTCGAATACCTTTTCATTTGATTAAAAAAGAAAAAAGTACAACCCAAATTTTATCTCACTGAGACTTCACACCATAACAATTACATAAGCTTAACTTACTGAAAGTTGCCGAATACTTCCTTCTACAGTAGCCGGTGCCTGCAACTTCCATTTTTGTTCTCCATCTACAATCCGGCTTCCTAGAGGTGGAGAATATCGCCATAGAGCCACATTTCCAAGGTTAGTGCCTCCAGCAAGTACACCTGTAACAATTCAAGTTAGAAAGACCTAGAAAATTAGTGTTGTTCCGATTAATTGAGTTAATCGAGTATCACTTGTTTGAGATGTTTGATCCAATTAATCAAGTAAGAAATCTGTAATCGATCATCGTGATGTATGAAAATAGATTATTTCAACATTGAAATTATTTTCAACATTAATAAAACTGTTTAAAAAAAAACGACATTTGTTTATATTAAAAAGTATTCTGTGCAATAAACGATTAACAAGCACACAAAATGATGGTGTAGGTACAACAGTTTTAGTTATTACGTGAATTGCTGTTAAAACATAACACAAAATATGTACTTAGACTTGAATAATATCCAAAAACACAATTAAGAATTAATCAATTTTAATCGATCATCGATCGGTTACAAAAAGTTGATGATCGATCAGGAAATCTCAACCGATTCCCAACACTATAGAAAATAATTAATCACAACAAGAAATATGGCTGTCAGATAGATGACAAGTAGTGTATTTACTGTATTCCAGTATAGGAGTTAAAAAGTTTGTCTGATACATCAGAATTTCTGGTTTAGACATAACTTTCTTAGGCCCTCCTCTCAAACAACTAGCAGATCCTCAGTTTGACCCCACTCATTACAGACCCTTCATGTTGTCAAATGAATCACAGTGCACTTTAAGGCAATATTCTGTGAATTCATATATAAACTGTAATATTTTTTTCATCTACCGGGTAATTCATAAACAACAAAAAGCTCTGCTTGTCAACTACTTTTTCACTTTTCTAATGCATCACACCCAACCCTAGTCTATAGTGCATTTCGCACTCACAATTAAGTTTAACTGTAATTAAATGCTATCCTCTCCTGACTAAAAAACTGTGAATCTATCAGCATTAATTTTTACCCTTCTCCTCGCAGTAACTGATACACATGATGTTTTCTGATGAATCGTAGCTAGCATGTCCATCCAAGGACAAAATATAGTTTTCTTCATGGTCTAGATCCCACATTCTGTAAACATATAAACATACATTTCATATTGACCTAGAAAATAATCCAGATATTCCATTTAATGGATTGGTCTATTACTAAACATGAATAGGGTACCACAGAATGGAACAATATTGAGAAAGCAAAAATCTAACGATGTTATAGCAATCTTAACACATTTGATGATTCCAGATCCCAAAACAGAAAAATCAAATGGTAAAAACTCTTTCAAAATTTGTCATGTCAAAATGCTAAGTGGAAAACGATGCTTTGTGTTTTGATGATACAGCATATCAAGTTTTAGAGATGTCAGTCAAAAACTAAAAAGAAATGTTGGATAAAACTGAAAAAAAAAACCAAGGGTGACAACTCTTCCAAAAATTGTTGCATCTAAATGCTATTCAATGCAACACAATTTCATGTCAGGGTGAGTTTTGGTTGTAAATAGAGAGTAGATCTCCTGACAGAATTTAAATTAATAATAAAATCAAGGGGCAATAAATCTTCTAACAATGGTCAAATTAAACTACTATTCAGTAAAACTAAACTTCATGCATTGGTGAATAAGCCTACCAACTTTGAAAGAGATCAGTTAAAAACTGTGCAAGAAGATTATGACAGATGGAATGTTTGGTCGTTTGCAAATTTGATCATGAAAGGCATTTTGAGGCAGTGTTTCCTTGCAGTAGCTGATGGCTACCTCAGCTAATATATGGGAAGCCCATCACATGCCTCCAGAGCAATTTGAGTAAAGTGTCTTGACCCAGGACACAACCATGTCCACTCAGATCTGTTTCTCAGCTCCTTGATGGATGGACAAAAGTTTAAAAACCAGCAACATCCAGGACTCCTTTACATATCATTTCTACCAAATTTCAAGAACTCCCAGGGATTCTTTACTAGGACAGTCTTTACAATTCTTGGGTTGGACAACTTTGTCATCAAATGGAACAGTCCTTCCAACACCTAATTAGTATAATTTACTAACATTTTATTTAACCAAGACTCACCTAACCACACCTTCTCCTGTAGCAGTAGCTATGGTACTTTTTCCAGCCCAACAAATAACTGGGTTCTCTCCCCTGCCACTCATCTTTACCTACAATTTTAGGGAAAGGTTTACTGTACTAGCATCAAACAACATGACCAAAGGCTTCTTCTTCCATTACCAGCTGGGATGTTTTAAAAACAAATTGCTTCAAGTTTAAAATGGAAAGATTGTTTTAATCTTTTAAGCATCTAGGGTTCAATTTTAAACTTTTGCAAAGTGAATGTTCATTTCTTCAATTACACAACCCAACCCTGTATATGTAAGCAATCGATATTGACTCGGAAAGGTTGCATTAATATATAAAGTAATTATCTTAATTATTATTGTTGTTCATAAATAAATCATCAATTATCAAATAAGTTTTGAATATCAGATTATTTTCATGATAATCAATGATGGCAGCTTCACAGCATTTTTTATTCAACCCCCAACCCCTATCCCTCACCACTCCCCCACAAAAGATAATCTTACAGCTACCTGTATAGTGTTCCCTTCCCACTTTGGACCTTTAATTTATCAAGAAAAATTCTCCACACTACATAGGTTTTGAGCAAAGATATACCAGTCAGTTGATTTCTCATCAAAGAACACAGGTGTTGTCATATAATAGTCATCAATTTTTCACAATGATTTTTGAGCAAGAAGATATAAAGCAAAATGTAATATATGCTAGTAACTAACCCTCATGAGTTCTTTAGCATCACCCTCAGGCATTATAGCATGTTGTGTTAGCATCATGTTTTCTGTTACTGTGATCAACACATTCTTTTCTTCATAGTAGAGGAAGCGGAGGATAGCAGTGTCCACAGAAAATATCTGCGTACACTGACCATTCTCATTCACATAATAAACACCACCTAAAAATTTTTTGAAAACAAATATTTAGTACATGATAAATAGATCTATGTGTCATCAGCCGATATTTCAAATTATAAGATGTTAATATTTACATACAAAGAAATCAAGGAAAGTGAATCAAAAACCTAGTTACTTTAAAAATTACATTTTTTTTTTGTCCAAAGACAAGAGCTTTCAAGTAGAACGAACAATATCTCCTTGATTTAAATAAATCCACGTACCACTTTCACCGCCTACAAAGAATGTCAGGGCTTCTGTGGGACCAAACATCGAGACCATCTTATTATTACCCTTGCCCTTGGCCTTCCATGTGAAGAGATCTAAAGCTTTCTCGTCTCCACTGACAGCAGCTCTGGCAAGCGCTGCAATATCACTAACAACAAAAAATGTATTCTGATGTTAGGAATAACAACATTCTGTGCACATAATTTCAATTACTTTAAATTCTACATCTTACATGCTCTGAATATTTCCTTTCAAATAAAGGATAGTGTTGAGGCTGTTTAGGTGGATCCAGCTATCAAATTGCCAATACCAGCTGTGCTTAAACTACATGTTAGTGCATGATAGTAAGATTTCTGAGCATATTTCGAAGGCGAGTCCCTGCAACATAAGGTGAAATATATCCCTCTTCTCTTCCATCACTAAATTATATATACTATAGATAGTACTTCTCAAAGTTCACTCATTTATCAATATCATAAGTCTAGAAATCTAACTGCTTCATCACAATCAGTGTAGATGATTACCAGTTTTTAAAGGTTTACAAATTGTGTTTAGAGTTATCTTATTAACATCAGGATATGACAAGATATCTGTAGAATGCTCACTGTTCAGGATCTGGTGGAGGAATAGGTCTATACAGGATTTTACTGAGCGGTTCCTGGACATGGTGTTGATGCAAAGGATTCTGCTGTAAGCGACCTTTCCCATCAGACTTCCATACCATCAGTACACCAGCCTGTAAAATAAAGCACATATACTACAATCATTGTAAATAATGTTTAAAATCTTATTTTTTTTTGTTCATTTGATGTTGTTAAAGCCAATTTAGATCATGCACTGCTATTTATAACCAAAATATTGTAAAGGACCCAAGTAACACCAAAAAGAAATATAGACACAATATAGTATGATGTTCACAGATCTTTTATCTTACCTTGTCCCCAGAAGACAGCCTTGAACCTGAAGAGCTCCAGTGTAATACTGTAATGGCGGTTTTGTGTAGTGGAAGACCTTCAAACAATTCATGGTCAACTTCATTCCACACTAGTAATTCTCCATTTTCCCAACCAACTGCAACAATTTTCCTTGTTGGGTGCCATGCTACAGATGTTGCTTGACCAGCACGGTGCAAAGGAATATTTAGCAATTTTTCACCCTAAAAACAAGAAAATTATAACATGTTACAGTATCAACTTTTGTTTTTTTATTCAGAGTATATAACTGTGATAATATATTTACTGTGCTGTTTTCATTTCTTTACACATGTAAAGTTAATTTTTATTAGAAACATTGTTTGAATGTTAACATTCTGAGGATAAAATTACTTTAAATTCTAACATGTATATATTTTAACTTTATAAAGTACATACATCAAATGTTAAGATTACGTTACCTCCTCCAAAAATAGATTGACAGTTCCCCCATTCTCATCACTGTAGGAATTGACAGCAATCATAGGGGCCCCACTGAACCATGATGCATCTGTGTTTATTCCAGATCTGTCAGTTTCAAGACGGTGATCAAAATACACAGCCATGTTTCTGACACTATTTTCAAAAAATTGTCAACTGAAAAAAAAGAAAAAAAAAATATCAAAAAATATATTTAAAAAATAGAGATGTGCTATTGAGTGTACACAGACATATTACTGCTTTAAACCACTAACATATATCTAATTTAAACATTACTTTTGTGCAATCAACAATGGTGAACGTATTCTTCTATAGATATTTTTTTTTCACTGTCTCAGACAACTAAGCATCAAATATATAAAAAAATAGTCAAATAATATACACATACATGAAGAAAAGACATTCTTTTTTACAGCATTGATTGAGTCAGGTACGTGTCCTACAGTCACTCATTTGTCATGTATAGCATCATGCTCTCACTCATAGGTCTGTGTCACACAGTGTCTTACATGTTACAGGATGTGTCATCTGTTTACTTGCATATCTTTCTTTATAGTGTCTATATGCATCTGATGGTGTTCATATCTATATTCACTAACCTAATGGTTCAGTGGTGTAGGTATGTCAGAGTGTGAAGTACACACATGTGAGTTTGTATGTGCAAGAGAATGTCCTTTTGAGATGAAATACCAATTCTCAAATTAAATCCAACAAAAATTCTCTTCATCCTTGTAATGTACATTTGAGTTCAGTGAGTCTGTGCACGTGCATGTCCAATAATCTGCCATGTAATCTTGTGTCCTGTAATTACGATCTACTAAATGTTTTGCACTGACATTGGTATGTTTTCATAACATCAACATCGGGGATATATTAGTGATTTGTTAACAAAGTGGCAATTTTAAAAGGCAAAGTTTGTCTGCACACAACTGCAGATTCACTGGTCAGCATTATGTAACTAAGGCAAATTACCAACCAAAATTCTCATTAGCTGGATTGATTAGCCTGGAATGTTAATCTAGTTAATGGTCCCCTGTTCTATACAGTATACTGGAAGTTGTTTGCACTGTCCCCTGATCATCAGAATTTTTCTGGCTTGTACGACTTACCACATGAAACCGTAAATACTTTCGGTAAAATGTTATAAATGTTTAGTTGTAACAATGGATATAAACGCGTAGGTGTAGCTACATGAATAAGAACAAAGGGTATTGCTATTACTATTGTTTTCCATTTCCCTGGAATTCTGGACATCTAGTGAGTGTAAACATTAGAGTAAATATAACATGTATAGGCTGCTCTTTGAAAAGAAATTTAGTCGCATTTTTTCATCATTTTTCCATGTAACAAGTTTGGTATGTCAACAAATAATTACTGCCTAACGGTTACAAATCTTTGAAACAACTCAGTTGCGTAGATAGTTCTCATGCATTATCGTTTTTACGCAAAACAATTCTACTAAGGCAGATCAACATTATTAAATATCAGACTCTGATTTAGTGCTGTATTGCAGTGAGTCGGGGCCGGGTGCTTGACTGGGACGAAACTTCGGGAACTATTGCATCTTTAAACTGATTTGTTAGCAATATAAATAAAAGAGTCATGATGTTTTGAATACTTACCATATAAATCTACGTAAACATATCGTTAAAACATGAAATACGATCTGAAAGATATTGTTTCCCTGGAAACTATGATGCTCTCGGACCTCAAACCATCACTATGTGCTCCATTTTGAAACTATTTACGCAATGCATCCTGGGTAAAATCACCAACCAAAACAAGAATAAATAAATATTTACTTCGGTCAAATTTAATTTTCATGTTAGAATTAACATCACCCGAAGAGATGTTGAATTCCAATAGCATATATACAAACTTAGAACGAGTATACATAACATAAATATATTTGAACGGGACATAACTCTAGAACCGCTTTCGCCGTTTTGTATAGTCAGTACACGGCTGTCATGTCGTTCCGGCCCAAAATCGTACTGTCCTTAGTCCACATCCGGCCTGTCAGAAGTCTCGTAGTCGTCCCGGTTCAGATATGTTTAGTTAGTCACTTGACCAAATCCGTTTTCAAACTGTATTTTACAATGTGTATATTATTCAACTGAAATATTCTTTATACCATATACATCGCCTCGATTACTCAAAAATACTGGCCAAACCTGTACATAATTGCAATATGTTCTTTGTTTTTGAATGGTTGATATTGCCATTATAACATGATAGAAAAACGACGCTTCGGTCTCTATCAGGGCACTCTACCGCTCGACTAAAGGGAAATTCCCATTGTCCGAGGCTAATAAGGCGACCTGTATCGTCAACTCCTACAAATATAAGGGGAAATGGCATAATATCTCCCTTTTGTGATTTAAACACATTCTATTTTCAGAAACAAATAAATGATGGATCAGAGAGAAGTTCTAGCAACTTATGATCTCTTCTCCATAAATAGGTTACAAATAATTCATAATTTGCATGTACACATTTTATAAGTCGGAAAATATGTTTTGTACAATTGTACGTTTAAATAATTTTCTTTTTGTGTTACACGTGATATGAGAAAAGACGAACAAAGATTGCAGATTTTTAATAAGGTAATGTTTGCCTTTGCTGTGCTTTTATATGTAAGAAAATACCACTAATTAATTACAATAGTTCTTTCAAATATGTCTATGACATTGAATTTAATTCTCATACATGACCGTTGGTACATCCACATTTTTAAAAAAAATGTAAGCCATCAAATTTTGCCGTTTGCGCTATTTCGGTGGGTTTTTTTGTTTATTATTATTATTATTTGTCTTTTTTTCCCCAAACTGAACAAATTACCTATTTCTACAACCTGTAATTTGGTTAAGAAAATCCCGAGTGATAAAAAACCCATCAAAATCTAGATTGGGAAGTGCACTAATTCCCAAATTCAATAAATTTTGTAATTTTCATATATTTGATAAATTTAGAACAAGTGCTTGTAAATTCTGAGCCATGCCACTATTGGAATTAAAACGTGGCATGCAGTTTAAGGCAAACCTCGTGGACAGTGATCTACTTAGTATCATTAACTTCTCATACTCTATGTTATCTATGAGGTAGGTATTACACTCCAAAGTTGACCCAATTACCAAATATGATAATTTCCTAATGCAATATAGGACAAGACAACATTCCCAAAGGTTGATTTTTGTAGACTTTTTACCTGTAAAAATATGTATTCTAATCATAAAAAAATGAATAATTTCTGATGCAATTTTGTCGTGGTTGGACGTAAATTGGCAGGGCTAATATATACGAGCTGAAATATATGAATAATTTTCTAATTATATTACATAAAGTGAGTACCACGGGATATAATCATTCATGTTAGCGTCTTATTTATTCAATAAGCAGGACAAAATGTTGGCTCTCCTCTACCATTAATGTGTCCTACAAGCACATGATATGATATTTATTAAATTTATTAATTATTTATTAAATGTCTAATAAACAACGAATCAACGGTAAGCAGTGCAAATCTCAGACAGTGGTACACACGATTCTCAGGGACTTATTTGATTAACACGTCATGTTTTATCACAATTTTTGACTTTTTTTTTACAGTGATTGTTGAACTTTAATCAAACTAAATTAATAATGAACATGACTATATTTAGAATCTCAGTCAAGGCGTGTCCCAATGCAGTTTGAGAAGCGTCAAATAGCTTCTTACATATCATGGTACATATGTTTTGTTCTGTTTAAATTACCAAGATATTTGCATTTCCAGAAAACATTTCAAACTGGCATGATAGGACCACGTCCATGTTTTACAGTAAAACATCTTTACAGAATTTGTCCAGTGGCTATTGACGTTCAACTTAAATACAATATCACACAGCACAGCACACAGCACAGCAGAGTACAGCACAGTACAGCACAACGTTGTATAATTTTTCCAAGATTGTTTAGTTCCTTCACGTGCTAGATACTTAAGTTGCACAAATTTTAAAACGATAGGACTTACGATAATACCTTTTACTATATTTTCGTCTAATTTCAATATTACAGAAGATTTCGTTTTGAATTTCATTTTTTCGGACAGCATTCACATATTCTACGTCTCCTCCCAATGTTGCGATAGCGACTATTCTCAATTTCTAGCTACATATGTATATCCTCACTGAAGTAACAACGAAACAGACACGTGAATTGTCATATATAACCGAATGACCCACTTCTACACCGGCTATCACCGAATGGACCACTACTAAACCGACTATAACCGAATGACCCACTACTACACGACTATGACCGAATCGCCCACTACTACACCGACTATAACCGAATGGCCCACTACTACACTGACTATAACCGAATGGCCCACTACTACACGACTATGACCGAATGGCCCACTACTACACCGACTATAACCGAATGACCCACTACTACACCGACTATAACCGAATGGCCCACTACTACACCGACTATAACCGAATGGCCCACTACTACACCGACTATAACCGAATGGCCCACTACTACACCGACTATAACCGAATGACCCACTACTACACGACTATGACCGAATCGCCCACTACTACACCGACTATAACCGAATGGCCCACTACTACACCGACTATAACCGAATGACCCACTACTTCACCGAAATAAACCGAATGGGCCACAACTACACCGGGTATAACCGAATGACACACTACTACACCGGCTGTAACCGAATGGCCCACTACTACACCGGCTATAACCGAATGACCCACTACTACACGACTATGACCGAATCGCCCACTACTACACCGACTATAACCGAATGGCCCACTACTACACCGACTATAATCGAATGGCCCACTACTACACCGGATATAACCGAATGGCCCACTACTACACCGACTATAACCGAATGGCCCACTACTACACTGACTATAACCGAATGGCCCACAGCTAACCGACTATGACCGAATGGCCCACCGCTACACCTACTATAACCGAATGACCCACTACTACACGACTATGACCGAATGGCCCACTACTAAACCGACTATAACCGAATGGACCACTACTACACCGACTATAACCGAATGGCCCACTACTACACCGACTATAACCGAATGGCCCACTACTACACCGACTATAACCGAATGGCCCACTACTACACCGGCTATAACCGAATGGACCACTACTACACCTACTATAACCGAATGACCCACTACTACACGACTATGACCGAATGGCCCACTACTACACGACTATAACCGAATGGTCCACTCCTACACCGACTATAACCGAATGGTCCACTACATGACTATATTTTCCCTACATCTTTATATCGAACTATTTATATAAGGATGATATACACACCTACTCTTACACTATATTATACATTTAATACAACTGTTCTGGTACAATACGCCATTAACATACAGTTTGTCCCTTATGAGGCGAACGTTGTCGTTCTCGCCTAAATATCCTCATTACCTGACAGAATTGTTTCCTGCGCTCTTCTATCACAGTATGGCATAGCTCTCTGACGACACCTGGGGTCCCTTTAAGTCAGTAGGAGTTGTTTTTAACCAGCTGCAGGTCTTGGTAATAGAGGAATCGTGCAACTATAGGACGATTATAGCCTCTGGTGAACCTACCGAAACGATGGACGTTTCCAAACTCAGTGTTCCTTCGGATTCCCATTTCGCAGTTCAAGAAATCTTTGAGGAGAATATCGTTATTTCATCTGTAATTTTAGGGTCCTATGGTCAAAGGATAAAGTCACTGTTACCTAGATAGAAAGCTACTTTCTGCAAAATATTAGTCAGTTCTGTTTTGATGGTTACACCCATACTTTCTCCTGTACTTCTTCACAGAAAGTGCTAGCTCTCAAATACGTTTCTTGTCCAGAGGTCAAAGGTCAAGGTCTTTTTTTATTACTATAAACAGGAATGGAAACATACACCACAAATATATATATATATATATCACATCTGAATGTTGCTGGTAAATATTTACTTATAACATAACGAAACATTATTGACGAAATTCAAATAAGAAGTCAACCGACCACATGTTAATGTCATTAGGTCAGAGGTCGAAGTCAAATAGGTCCATGCTCACGTGTATTTCCGGAAGTAATATACTATTCAGTACGGGCAACAATGGAACATGTCAAGTTATTGGTTCAAAGTTTTATGTTTCATAGAAAATCCCAAAACTGTTTAATCTTTACATGTAACATTTCAAACATCCGCAACAGGTAAGTTCGTTTGTCATATAATAATGCCATGCCGCCTGATCCGCATCCTCCGGGCTATACGAACGTGACTGAAGACTAGTAAACCAGAGGTCCTTGGTTCGAATACTGGCATGAGCATTGAAAAACAAAATAATGACCTCTGTTACATTGGCGCCCATGTAGGGACTAATGATAATACTTCGCGTTGGTATAATGAACATCGTACAGAAAATGTTCCTTTAAAACATTGTACGTATGCATGATAATAGTTAAACGGCAGTCTCTTTCTGATAGTTTTTAGTGCTTCCCAGCATTTATTATAAACAAAATGAATATTTGAAACAATCTAATTGTTTTCATACTTTTATTGACATATATTTATTGCTGGATTTTACAAAACCAATACGTCACCCTATATATGAATATCGTTTCAAGTTAAAATGATTACCAATACCTTATGTATAGTGTAGTGCACAACGTAGGTCTTCCTGTGTGTACCGGTACGTTGTACGTACTTGACAAGTCTGATCCGGTCGATGAGATTAGCCAATAGTAAGGGAGCGACTTATCAACTACTGTCGCTATTTATAACCATACAAAGTGTGATTGTAAACATATAGTGTACCGTTCTGCTTACTTGTTTAACTTCCCTGTCGACAGAGTGAAAAGAGAGCTAAATTTTATCGTAAAATTTGTCACATTAGCCCTGTTCGTGTGTTTGCTGTTATATTGATGAATAATTCAACACCTGGACACTCACCGGACATGCATACGTCACACGCATAACAGGTGGAACAAACTATACCACTTTAATCACACCGGTAAAGTGAGGCTGTTGCTCTGTCGTGCGTTCAACGTTCTGGAACTGTTATATAGCGGCAACATATTGATTCCGCAGTGACAGACATCTCCCATCTACAAACTAGTCATGGAACTAAAAAGTGACGCTAAACTTAAACTAATTGACAAGTTTTGTGAACTTCACAAAGAGGCGACGAAAAGGGGACTGCGGAGGGATGTCATCCACGCAGTGTTCCAAGGGAAAATCGTGCGAGTTACTAAAGAACCAGGTTACAGATTGGATCCCTGGCTGACCAAAGTAACGTGGGGCTTGGCCATCGTGATTGTTGTGTTAGCCACTGTCCTGGGGATTCTCGCACATCAGTTTGACTTCAAGGAAGAGGTAACGATGCTCGTGAAGGGTTCTAGATGTATTGTAGACAATAACGGCTTCTTGATGGAAATAGCCAGACCGAAAACAAATTGCCATATCTGTGAAAATCTTGTTACGGTTCCTGTTGAAAATAACATTTCTACTGAAGATTTTCTACAGAAATATGCCTACACGGCCGTACCTGTACTCGTGAAGGAAGCGACTCGCAAATGGTCGGCCATGGACACATTCAGTTTTAGGTTTTTCAGAGATTTATACACTTCCGTAAATGGCTCCTTACATGCTGTTGAAGAAGATTGTCAGTTCTTTCCCTATAAAACAGAGTTTGAAACTCTTGAAGAAGTTTTCAATATGACCGAAGAACGAGCTGATTTTAAAGACGGAGAAAAACTGTGGTATGTTGGATGGTAAGTATCACCGTTAGATATTTTCACCCGCACTCACGTGGTGACATTTCTCTATATCTATACACCTGTCTGCTAATACAACAATACACCGGTATTTAAGGGTGTACACTGTATACATAGATAATTTGTACATGTGTATAACAAGATAATTGTTTGTACAGGTGTATAACAAGATAATTGTTTGTACAGGTGTACAACAAGATAATTGTTTGTACAGGTGTATAACAAGATAATTGTTTGTACAGGTGTATAACAAGATAATTGTTTGTACAGGTGTATAACAAGATAATTGTTTGTACAGGTGTATAACAAGATAATTGTTTGTACAGGTGTATAACAAGATAATTGTTTGTACATGTGTATAACAAGATAATTGTTTGTACAGGTGTATAACAAGATAATTGTTTGTACAGGTGTATAACAAGATAATTGTTTGTACATGTGTATAACAAGATAATTGTTTGTACAGGTGTATAACAAGATAATTGTTTGTACAGGTGTATAACAAGATAATTGTTTGTACAGGTGTAAGACAACAGAATTGTCGGTACAGGTGTGTTTCGTTATAATTACGTTTGATCTTAATGTAATTTACATACACTGAATCACAATAAAGTGTTGGTTATTGTACTTCAGAGAAACATTATTTTCAATGACTTGTGATCGCGTGCTTTCAGAGAATCATCGCATGTGATATGAGTCATGTGTACGGACAAGGGGCTGGATAGGATATTGACAGAAATATTTTTCACGAGTCTGTTTAATGTTGAGAACTGGGACCGTGCTTAAACCGTTGTCTGATGTCTTTAATTAATGTATGGTTTGTAGTGAAGAATGTCTTCTTGATGATGTTGAGAGAGGACAGCTTGATGCGTCAACATCTATAAGCATTGTTCTCGCTATCAGGATACGATATGTCAGTACTGTTTTATTGTATACCGAGACAGCAGACCTCCAATTAAAGTGGGTTTTGAATTTTCACAATAAATTGTTCCAGTATGGATATAGTGAAGCGTTTGGAGCTGTGGTGGTTGTATAACTCTCGTCACACATCTATCACTTTTTTCATTAGATATATTGTTTTTACTTCAAGCTAAGACTCCTTTCGTATAATTAGGACTGGTTTGGAGATGTTTATATGTGGTTTTGATTCCGTCATCGATTCTTTATTAATTTAAAAGTGTCTTTCTGACTTCAACTTTGTCATGGAAGATCATTATCTTATTGGTGTTTCATTTGATGATGTAAACGGATCAAGAGAAAAATATCTGGTTTTTGTTATTGGCTGCAGCGGCGCTCTGTCACTTGGATGTGTTCGGTATATAAGGACAGATGTATGTATGTAACATCACTACCATCCCAGAAATAAAAACACCTGTTTCAGGTTTACTCTTTTTTCTCCCGCTGCGCGAGCTTTAACGGAAAGCGGCATTTACAACCATCGATGTCAAATTTGAGGCGATGAAGTCAATATTCCGCTTATCCTACGCTGATATATATTGGTTTCAGGTGTTACACTATCCTCTTTCTAACAAGACAGTAACATGTGAGAACCTATCCTTACTGCGACACTAGTCCTTTTAACATACGAACACTTAGGTTACTAGTGAAACATAATGAAAAGATACATATGCTGCAAACCAAGTGTACAGTCTGAAGCAATAAACTGTCACCGTGACTTGACTGGAGAGTTCCAAGGGTGCCGTCAACACAACCCTTTGTCTCTGCACGAGCGATGGAAATCGCGCACCAGCACTTACCGTCATGATTTAAGTGCTTTTTGTTCTTTTTACTGCGAACTCATATTCAACGAATGAATATTTGTCCGTCGAGCATTAGACTGAGACAGTTATAACTTGACACGGTAAAATCTTCACTTGTGTTTTATTACCAGTGACACTGTAGATGAAATTATAAGTCTTGTTTTGTACTGCGAAAGAATCTGAGGGAATATATCCACGTCGTTTTATTTAATAACAGGGGGCGGTATAAGCAGTGTGAAGAAGAATTTTGTGCGATTATTATACCGTCTTAAACAGCCACGAAATGTTGGTGCCAAGTTTGGTTTAAATCAAGCCCTTCTAGATAACTCACTTGAGAACTTGACATTACTTACTCTGATTGACCATGCTTTAAATTTAAAAAGGTGTGTAGGTGTATATGTTTAGGTAATACATTGTCTGGGACATGTTACTTTAAAACGCTTTCACGACAGTGATGGTGAAGATCGAATGTCATGTGTCTTCGAAATGGCATTGTTATTGTACTTTAAGGTCAATAACATGGACAGACAATGTAACAAGACGCCGTCTGAAATCCTAGAACGACTCTCGTTTTTCCACTTCTCTAGTTAAAATGCAATAATGATATGCCCTCCCATCCCTCTGTTCAGAAATTGATAGGGCAAAAATATGAAAAATGGAAAATAATTTTGTTTTTGTCTCGGCAGTAAATACAAACCGTGTCCGGGTAAGATTTGGTTTCTGCAGCGGATCCGTCTTCATGCAATCTTGTCACGTATTTTGCGGTTACAAATGCAGTGTGTTTCGAAGTTGTCATCATTCTGCTCCTTACCTCGTTCGTACAGATAAGATGATCCAAAATTTAAACTCATTGACTAATTCTAATTTAGCCGTAAAGCTTCTCGTTTCAAGATAAACATCCTTTCTTGTTTTTTAATGTATGTTTAGCATACAATACGGCAGGTGTCCGCCTGAAATATTCACGGTACGAGAGATGTTTAGCTCAATATCAGTAAAGACAGGTTTTTCTCAATGCAAATGATAAGACTTGTTTGTACGTAAGCCAATAATGATAGAGAACATGTTTTCACTTTAAGGACATTTATAGTTATTTTTTCTGTTCCGTGTGAATTACCTTGGGGTAGCTACAAATATAGAGTCACTTCAATGTAGATAAACTTCAATCCTGGTACAATTAACCAATATTTTCATGAAATATTTGAAAAGCAAATCACAGATGGTTAAAACAGCGGTGAGTTTAATTAAAATTAAGCTATAACATAGCAAAACACGAACAAAAATGTGCAGTACCAAGAGCAAATGATTAAATATATGTAGATTTGATTTTACCGTCGGCAATACCTTTCTTTGAACATTACATCAATATGTTACATGTCTCTTCACATCTAATGAAACCAAGTTTCCATATTAAGGGAAGCAAACATCAGGTATTTACCTGTAGAACTCTTTTACAGTAGCCTAATGGCCAGACATCAATATCGATGAATACAAACATTAGGTATGGTAAAATCAAATCACCTGCAGATTTTGCCAAAAAAAAAAAAAAATAAAAAAAAACCCTTCTAGATAACAAACAACAGAGCATTGAGTCCTTGCCGTTGTATGTGCAGTGGTGTGTGTTGTTTGTACAGGTTGGTTCTGATGTGTTTAAACGATTTCTGAATATATGAAATATATTATTTGTTACTTTACAAGGAATTCTATTGAATTATAGGAGCAACTGCCATCCCGGTGTCTCGAGCGTTCTCCGAGAACACTACCAAAAACCTTACTTCCTACCCAACGACACAGAATCCAGTGCTCTTGACTGGATCTTCATGGGCGGAACCGGGCTGGGGGCCTTCATACATGTGAGTACGGGGACGAACGAGTATGAAATAGTCGCGACAATGTAAGGAATCGTGGATTTGGTTATGATGAACGACAAAGAAAAGGGAATGGGAAATCATGGGATTTGTCGGTTTGATGTATGGTACAGGAAAGGGGAATCATGGGATTTGTCGGTGTGATGTATGGTATAGGAAAGGGGAATCATGGGATTTGTTATAACGGTATGGTACAGGAAAGGAGAATCCTGGGATTTGTTATAACGGTATGGTACAGGAAAGGGGAATCATGGGATTTGTCGGTGTGATGTATGGTACAGGAAAGGGGAATCATGGGATTTGTTATAACGGTATGGTACAGGAAAGAGGAATCATGGGATTTGTTATAACGGTATGGTACAGGAAAGGGGAATCAGGGGATTTGTTATAACGGTATGGTACAGGAAAGGGGAATCATGGGATTTGTTATAACAGTATGCACAGGAAAGGGGAATCATGGGATTTGTCGGTGTGATGTATGGCACAGGAAATGGGAATCATGGGGTTTGTTATAACGGTATGGACAGGAAAGGGGAATCATGGGATTTGTTATAACGGTATGGTACAGGAAAGGGGGATCATGGGATTTGTTATAACGGTATGGTACAGGAAAGGGGAACCATGGGATCTGTTATAACGGTATGATACAGGAAAGGGGAATCATAGGATTTGTCGGTGTTATGTATGGAACAGGAAAGAGGAATCACGGGATTTGTTATAACGGTATGACACAGGAAAGGGGAATCATGGGATTTGTTATAACGGTATGACACAGGAAAGGGAAATCATGGGATTTGTTATAACGGTATGACAGAGGAAAGGGGAATCATGGGATTTGTTATAACGGTATGACACAGGAAAGGGGAATCATGGGATTTGTTATAACGGTATGACACAGGAAAGGGGAATCATGGGATTTGTTATAACACTATGACACAGGAAAGGGGAATCATGGGATTTGTTATAACGGTATGGTACAGGAAAGGGGAATCATGGGATTTGTTATAACGGTATGGTACAGGAAAGGGGAGTCATGGGATTTGTTATAACACTATGACACAGGAAAGGGAAATCATGGGATTTGTTATAACGGTATGACACAGGAAAGGGAAATCATGGGATTTGTTATAACAGTATGACACAGGAAAGGGAAATCATGGGATTTGTTATAACGGTATGGTACAGGAAAGGGGAATCATGGGATTTGTTATAACGGTATGGTACAGGAAAGGGGAATCATGGGATTTGTTATAACAGTATGCACAGGAAAGGGGAGTCATGGGATTTGTTATAACGGTATGGTACAGGAAAGGGGAATCATGGGATTTGTTATAACGGTATGGTACAGGAAAGGGGAATCATGGGATTTGTTATAACAGTATGCACAGGAAAGGGGAATCATGGGATTTGTTATAACAGTATGACACAGGAAAGGGGAATCATGAGATTTGTTATAACAGTATGGTACAGGAAAGGGGAATCATGGGATTTGTTATAACGGTATGGTACAGGAAAGGGGAATCATGAGATTTGTTATTACAGTATGACACAGGAAAGGGGAATCATGGGATTTGTTATAACAGTATGGTACAGGAAAGGGGAATCATGGGATTTGTTATAACGGTATGGTACAGGAAAGGGGAATCATGGGATTTGTTATAACGGTATGGTACAGGAAAGGGGAATCATGGGATTTGTTATAACGGTATGGTACAGAAAAGGGGAATCATGGGATTTGTTGTAACGGTATGGTATAGGAAAGGGGAATCATGGGATTTGTTGTAACGGTATGGCACAGGAAAGGGGAATCATGGGATTTGTTATAACGGTATGGTACAGAAAAGGGGAATCATGGGATTTGTTGTAACGGTATGGTACAGGAAAGGGGAATCATGGGATTTGTTGTAACGGTATGGTACAGGAAAGGGGAATCATGGGATTTGTTGTAACTGTATGGAACAGGAAAGGGGAATCATGGGATTTGTTATTATGCAGAATACAGGAAAGAGTAAATTTTGAATTGGAATGTATCACCACTTATGAATATATTAGATATTTTTGGTAGGGAATGCTTCATCACTGTCGATTGTTTTCTTTCATTGGCTCTAAATTGCTACTGTGTAGATGTTACGAGAACATGATATAGGATACTGGTATGTTTGCACCTTTATTAATGTCGCTGGATTGTTGTGTTATAGCTAGACTACGTACAGCGTCCTTCCTGGCAGGCACAGATCTCTGGTGTAAAGACATGGAGTTTGATCCCGACTCCGGAGTGTGAACACGTGTGTCAGAGCATGAACGTCACAGTACAAAAGGGGGACATATGTAAGTAATATAGTGAAAATACCTTCACACCCAAGATATTTTTTTCTTTTGTTCACGTGTTGCCCATTTTTTTTTTATCGATTTTGAGTTTGATAGACGATTTTGTAAACATATCGATGTTTTCGTGTTGGTTTGGTCAAAACTACATACATCAGTATTCACTATCGTTACCGAAAGACAGAACACTACAGCAATGTACACCATGATCATCATTGCAATGAATTGCGTTCTACTTGATTTTGTACTTTTCTTTATACACCAATGGTACACTGATGATGTACTAATTGTACACCTCTGATATATCGATGGTACACTGATGATGTACTGATTGTACACTAATGATATATCGATGGTACACTGATGATGTACTGACTGTACACCTCTGATATATCGATGGTACACTGATGATGTACTGATTGTACAACTCTGATATATCGATGGTACACTGATGATGTACTGATTGTACAACTCTGATATATCGATGGTACACTGATGATGTACTGATTGTACACTAATGATATATCGATGGTACACTGATGATGGACTGATTGTACACTAATGATATATCGATGGTACACTGATGATGTACTGATTGTACACTAATGATATATCGATGGTACAGTGATGATGGACTGATTGTACACTTCTGATATATCGATGGTACACTGATGATGTACTGATTGTACAACTCTGATATATCGATGGTACACTGATGATGTACTGATTGTACACTAATGATATATCGATGGTACACTGATGATGTACTGACTGTACACCTCTGATATATCGATGGTACACTGATGATGGACTGATTGTACACTAATGATATATCGATGGTACACTGATGATGTACTGATTGTACACTAATGATATATCGATGGTACACTGATGATGTACTGATTGTACACTAATGATATATCGATGGTACACTGATGATGTACTGATTGTACACCTCTGATATATCGATGGTACACTGATGATGTACTGATTGTACACTAATGATATATCGATGGTACACTGATGATGGACTGATTGTACACTAATGATATATCGATGGTACACTGATGATGTACTGATTGTACACCTCTGATATATCGATGGTACACTGATGATGGACTGATTGTACACTAATGATATATCGATGGTACACTGATGATGGACTGATTGTACACTAATGATATATCAATGGTACACTGATGATGTACTGATTGTACACCTCTGATATATCGATGGTACACTGATGATGGGCTGATTGTACACTAATGATATATCGATGGTACACTGATGATGTACTGATTGTACACTAATGATATATCGATGGTACACTGATGATGGACTGATTGTACACCTCTGATATATCGATGGTACACTGATGATGTACTGATTGTACAACTCTGATATATCGATGGTACACTGATGATGGGCTGATTGTACACTAATGATATATCGATGGTACACTGATGATGGACTGATTGTACACTAATGATATATCGATGGTACACTGATGATGTACTGATTGTACACCTCTGATATATCGATGGTACACTGATGATGGGCTGATTGTACACCTCTGATATATCGATGGTACACTGATGATGTACTGATTGTACACTAATGATATATCGATGGTACACTGATGATGGGCTGATTGTACACCTCTGATATATCGATGGTACACTGATGATGGACTGATTGTACACTAATGATATATCGATGGTACACTGATGATGGACTGATTGTACACTAATGATATATCGATGGTACACTGATGATGGACTGATTGTACACTAATGATATATCGATGGTACACTGATGATGGACTGATTGTACACTAATGATATATCGATGGTACACTGATGATGTACTGATTGTACACATCTGATATATCGATGGTACACTGATGATGGACTGATTGTACACTAATGATATATCGATGGTACACTGATGATGTACTGATTGTACACTAATGATATATCGATGGTACACTGATGATGGGCTGATTGTACACCTCTGATATATCGATGGTACACTGATGATGTACTGATTGTACACTAATGATATATCGATGGTACACTGATGATGGGCTGATTGTACACTAATGATATATCGATGGTACACTGATGATGTACTGATTGTACACTAATGATATATCGATGGTACACTGATGATGGGCTGATTGTACACTAATGATATATCGATGGTACACTGATGATGTACTGATTGTACACCTCTGATATATCGATGGTACACTGATGATGGACTGATTGTACACCTCTGATATATCGATGGTACACTGATGATGTACTGATTGTACACCTCTGATATATCGATGGTACACTGATGATGGACTGATTGTACACCTCTGATATATCGATGGTACACTGATGATGGGCTGATTGTACACTAATGATATATCGATGGTACACTGATGATGGGCTGATTGTACACCTCTGATATATCGATGGTACACTGATGATGGACTGATTGTACACCTCTGATATATCGATGGTACACTGATGATGTACTGATTGTACACCTCTGATATATCGATGGTACACTGATGATGGACTGATTGTACACCTCTGATATATCGATGGTACACTGATGATGGGCTGATTGTACACCTCTGATATATCGATGGTACACTGATGATGGACTGATTGTACAACTCTGATATATCGATGGTACACTGATGATGTACTGATTGTACAACTCTGATATATCGATGGTACACTGATGATGTACTGATTGTACACTAATGATATATCGATGGTACACTGATGATGGACTGATTGTACACTAATGATATATCGATGGTACACTGATGATGTACTGATTGTACACTAATGATATATCGATGGTACAGTGATGATGGACTGATTGTACACTTCTGATATATCGATGGTACACTGATGATGTACTGATTGTACAACTCTGATATATCGATGGTACACTGATGATGTACTGATTGTACACTAATGATATATCGATGGTACACTGATGATGTACTGACTGTACACCTCTGATATATCGATGGTACACTGATGATGGACTGATTGTACACTAATGATATATCGATGGTACACTGATGATGTACTGATTGTACACTAATGATATATCGATGGTACACTGATGATGTACTGATTGTACACTAATGATATATCGATGGTACACTGATGATGTACTGATTGTACACCTCTGATATATCGATGGTACACTGATGATGTACTGATTGTACACTAATGATATATCGATGGTACACTGATGATGGACTGATTGTACACTAATGATATATCGATGGTACACTGATGATGTACTGATTGTACACCTCTGATATATCGATGGTACACTGATGATGGACTGATTGTACACTAATGATATATCGATGGTACACTGATGATGGACTGATTGTACACTAATGATATATCAATGGTACACTGATGATGTACTGATTGTACACCTCTGATATATCGATGGTACACTGATGATGGGCTGATTGTACACTAATGATATATCGATGGTACACTGATGATGTACTGATTGTACACTAATGATATATCGATGGTACACTGATGATGGGCTGATTGTACACTAATGATATATCGATGGTACACTGATGATGGACTGATTGTACACCTCTGATATATCGATGGTACACTGATGATGTACTGATTGTACAACTCTGATATATCGATGGTACACTGATGATGGGCTGATTGTACACTAATGATATATCGATGGTACACTGATGATGGACTGATTGTACACTAATGATATATCGATGGTACACTGATGATGTACTGATTGTACACCTCTGATATATCGATGGTACACTGATGATGGGCTGATTGTACACCTCTGATATATCGATGGTACACTGATGATGTACTGATTGTACACTAATGATATATCGATGGTACACTGATGATGGGCTGATTGTACACCTCTGATATATCGATGGTACACTGATGATGGACTGATTGTACACTAATGATATATCGATGGTACACTGATGATGGACTGATTGTACACTAATGATATATCGATGGTACACTGATGATGGACTGATTGTACACTAATGATATATCGATGGTACACTGATGATGGACTGATTGTACACTAATGATATATCGATGGTACACTGATGATGGACTGATTGTACACTAATGATATATCGATGGTACACTGATGATGGACTGATTGTACACTAATGATATATCGATGGTACACTGATGATGTACTGATTGTACACTAATGATATATCGATGGTACACTGATGATGGACTGATTGTACACCTCTGATATATCGATGGTACACTGATGATGTACTGATTGTACACTAATGATATATCGATGGTACACTGATGATGGGCTGATTGTACACCTCTGATATATCGATGGTACACTGATGATGTACTGATTGTACACTAATGATATATCGATGGTACACTGATGATGGGCTGATTGTACACTAATGATATATCGATGGTACACTGATGATGTACTGATTGTACACTAATGATATATCGATGGTACACTGATGATGGGCTGATTGTACACTAATGATATATCGATGGTACACTGATGATGTACTGATATATTGTACACCTACTGATATATCGATGGTACACTGATGATGTACTGATTGTACACCTCTGATATATCGATGGTACACTGATGATGTACTGATTGTACACCTCTGATATATCGATGATTGTACACTAATGATATATGATGATGATATATCGATGGTACACTGATGATGGACTGATTGTACACCTCTGATATATCGATGGTACACTGATGATGTACTGATTGTACACCTCTGATATATCGATGGTACACTGATGATGGACTGATTGTACACTAATGATATATCGATGGGACACTGAAGATGGACTGATGGAACACTAATGATATATCGATGGTACACTGATGATGTACACTTCTGATATATTGTACACCTACACTAATGATATATCGATGGTACACTGATGATGGACTGATTGTACACCTCTGATATATCGATGGTACACTGATGATGTACTGATTGTACACCTCTGATATATCGATGGTACACTGATGATGTACTGATTGTACAACTCTGATATATCGATGGTACACTGATGATGTACAGATTGTACACTAATGATATATCGATGGTACACTGATGATGTACTGATTGTACACCTCTGATATATCGATGGTACACTGATGATGTACTGATTGTACACTAATGATATATCGATGGTACACTGATGATGTACTGATTGTACACCTCTGATATATCGATGGTACACTGATGATGGACTGATTGTACACCTCTGATATATCGATGGTACACTGATGATGTACTGATTGTACACCTCTGATATATCGATGGTACACTGATGATGGACTGATTGTACACCTCTGATATATCGATGGTACACTGATGATGTACTGATTGTACACTAATGATATATCGATGGTACACTGATGATGTACTAATTGTACACCTCTGATATATCGATGGTACACTGATGATGTACTGATTGTACACTAATGATATATCGATGGTACACTGATGACGGACTTATTGTACACCTCTGATATATCGATGGTACACTGATGATGTACTGATTGTACACTAATGATATATCGATGGTACACTGATGATGTACTGATTGTACACTAATGATATATCGATGGTACACTGATGATGTGTTGATGGTGTACTGAGTTACACTGATACATATATATATTCGGAGATTCAATTAATTCCAGTCACAGGAAATAGAAAATGTGAACTTTCACATTTGTTACAAATTAGTCGCGCGTCTGATATCGTTTCCTTAAACTTGTTATACATTTTGAGTAAGTTACATGTTCTTTCTTTTACAGTTGTAGTGGATACAAATCAATGGTATCACGCCACCTACATCCACCCAGGGGAGATCAGCATCACCATCGGGTCAGAGTACGACTAAACCCCAACTTTTTATGTACATGTCAAAGTTTCTCACATGAAATGACTAGTGACATAGCTATTCTCTGGTACATCAATCATTAACAGTCGGAGTGTGACTAGCGACCTCGCCGTTCTCTGGTACATCAATCATCAACGGTCGGAGTGTGACTAGTGACCTCGCTATTCTCTGGTACATCAATCATTAACAGTCGGATTGTGACTAGTGACCTCGTTATTCTCTGGTACATCAATCATCAACTGTCGGAGTGTGACTAGTGACCTCGCTATTCTCTGGTACATCAATCATTAACTGTCGGAGTGTGACTAGTGACCTCGCTATTCTCTGGTACATCAATCATTAACGGTCGGAGTGTGACTAGTGACCTCGTTATTCTCTGGTACATCAATCATTAACAGTCGGAGTGTGACTAGTGACCACGTTATTCTATGGTACATCAATCATTAACAGTCGGAGTGTGACTAGTGACCACGTTATTCTCTGGTACATCAATCATTAACAGTCGGAGTGTGACTAGCGACCTCGCTATTCTCTGGTACATCAATCATTAACTGTCGGAGTGTGACTAGTGACCTCGCTATTCTCTTCAACATCAATCATCAACAGTCGAAGTGTGACTAGTGACCTCGCTATTCTCTTCAACATCAATCATCAACAGTCGAAGTGTGACTAGTGACCTCGCTATTCTCTTCAACATCAATCATCAACAGTCGGAATGTGACTAGCTACCTCGCCGTTCTCTGGTACATCAATCATCAACAGTCGGAGTTTGACTAGCGACCTCGTTATTCTCTGGTACATCAATCGTTAACAGTCGGAGTGTGACTAGCGACCTCGTTATTCTCTGGTACATCAATCATTAACGGTCGGAGTGTGACTAGCGACCTCGCTATTCTCTGGTACATCAATCATTAACTGTCGGAGTGTACCTAGTGACATGGCTATTCTCTGATACATCAATCATTAACAGTCGGAGTGTGACTAGTGACATGGCTATTCTCTGGTACATCAATCATTAACTGTCGGAGTGACTAGTGACATGGCTATTCTCTGGTACATCAATCATTAACAGTCGGAGTGTGACTAGCGACCTCGTTATTCTCTGGTACATCAGTCATTAACAGTCGGAGTGTGACTAGCGACATCGTTATTCTCTGGTACATCAATCATTAATTGATTAAACCGTCTTCGTCATTTAAAATAATTATAACGTCGAAGGACTACATGTGTCTTATCTGTTCTGACAGTATAGGAATACACGTGTCTTATATCTTATGACATTGAAGGAATACATGTGTCTTATCTGTTCTATCATTGTAGGAATACATGAGTCTAATTTGTTTTGTCATTGGAGGACTACATGTGTCTGATCTGTTCTGACAGTGTAGGAATACACGTGTCTTATCTGTTCTGTCAGTGTAGGACAACATGTGTCTTATTTGTTCTGTCAGTGTAGGAATACACATGTCTTATCTGTTCTGTCAGTGTAGGACAACATGTGTCTTATCTGTTCTATCAGTGTAGGAATACATGAGTCTTATGTGTTCTGTCAGTGTAGGACAACATGTATCTTATCTGTTCTGATAGCGTAGCTGACGGAGCAGAAAATCATGCTGATCCGAGGGATATTACGTAACAGCGAACAGTTTATATTGTATGTGATGTTCTTTTGTAATGGTTGACAGCTTATTTCCTAAATCCTTAAGTAATGTTTCATATGAATAAACAATATGATAACCTTAATCAAACTGACTTTACCTTATATATGATAACATTACAGCAGAGTTAGACTGTAAATATACGTGTAACAGTGTCAGATGTTTGTGTGTACATGTATAGTCGGACCAGTAACAGTGTCTGATGTTTGTGTGTACATGTATAGCCGGACCAGTAACAGAGTCTGATGTTGTGTGTACATGTATAGCCGGACCAGTAACAGTGTCTGATGTTTGTGTGTACATGTATAGCCGGACCAGTAACAGAGTCTGATGTTTGTGTGTACATGTATAGCCGCACCAGTAACAGTGTCTGATGTTTGTGTGTACATGTATAGTCGGACCAGTAACAGTGTCTGATGTTTGTGTGTACATGTATAGCCGGACCAGTAACAGTGTCTGATGTTTGTGTGTACATGTATAGTCGGACCAGTAACAGTGTGTGATGTTTGTGTGTACATGTATAGCCGGACCAGTAACAGTGTCTGATGTTTGTGTGTACATGTATAGGCGGACCGGTAATAGTGTCTGATGTAGTGTGTACATGTATAGCCGGACCAGTAACAGTGTCTGATGTTTGTGTGTACATGTATAGCCGGACCAGTAACAGTGTCTGATGTAGTGTGTACATGTATAGCCGGACCAGTAACAGTGTCTGATGTTTGTGTGTACATGTAGAGCCGGACCAGTAACAGTGTCTGATGTTTGTGTGTACATGTATAGCCGGACCAGTAACAGTGTCTGATGTTTGTGTGTACATGTATAGCCGGACCAGTAACAGTGTGTGATGTTTGTGTGTACATGTATAGCCGGAGCAGTAACAGTATCTGATGTAGTGTGTACATGTATAGCCCTACCAGTAACAGTGTGTGATGTTTGTGTGTACATGTATGGCCGGAGCAGTAACAGAGTCTGATGTTTGTGTGTACATGTATAGCCGGACCAGTAACAGTGTGTGATGTTTGTGTGTACATGTATAGCCGGACCAGTAACAGTGTGTGATGTTTGTGTGTACATGTATGGCCGGAGCAGTAACAGAGTCTGATGTTTGTGTGTACATGTATAGCCGGACCAGTAACAGAGTCTGATGTTTGTGTGTACATGTATAGCCGGACCAGTAACAGTGTCTGATGTAGTGTGTACATGTATAGCCGGACCAGTAACAGTGACTGATGTTTGTGTGTACATGTATAGCCGGACCAGTAACAGTGTCTGATGTAGTGTGTACACGTATAGCCGGACCAGTAACAGTGTCTGATGTAGTGTGTACACGTATAGCCGGACCAGTAACAGTTTGTGATGTTTGTGTGTACATGTATAGCCGGACCAGTAACAGTGTCTGATGTTTGTGTGTACATGTATAGCCGGACCAGTAACAGTGTGTGATGTTTGTGTGTACATGTATAGGCGGACCGGTAATAGTGTCTGATGTTTGTGTGTACATGTATAGCCGGACCAGTAACAGTTTGTGATGTTTGTGTGTACATGTATAGCCGGACCAGTAACAGCGTGTGATGTTTGTGTGTACATGTATAGCCGGACCAGTAACAGAGTCTGATGTTTGTGTGTACACGTATAGCCAGACCAGTAACAGTGTCTGATGTAGTGTGTACATGTATAGGCGGACCAGTAACAGTGTCAGATGTTTGTGTGTACACGTATAGCCAGACCAGTAACAGTGTCTGATGTAGTGTGTACATGTATAGCCGGACCAGTAACAGTGTCAGATGTTTGTGTGTACATGTATAGCCAGACCAGTAACAGTGCCTGATGTTTGTGTGTACATGTATAGCCGGACCAGTAACAGTGTCTGATGTTTGTGTGTACATGTATAGCCGGACCAGTAACAGTGTCTGATGTTTGTGTGTACATGTATAGCCGGAGCAGTAACAGAGTCTGATGTTTGTGTGTACATGTATAGCCGGACCAGTAACAGTGTGTGATGTTTGTGTGTACATGTATAGGCGGACCGGTAATAGTGTCTGATGTAGTGTGTACATGTATAGCCGGAGCAGTAACAGAGTCTGATGTTTGTGTGTACATGTATAGCCGGACCAGTAACAGTTTGTGATGTTTGTGTGTACACGTATAGCCGGAGCAGTAACAGAGTCTGATGTTTGTGTGTACATGTATAGCCGGACCAGTAACAGTGTGTGATGTTTGTGTGTACATGTATAGCCGGACCAGTAACAGTTTGTGATGTTTGTGTGTACACGTATAGCCGGAGCAGTAACAGAGTCTGATGTAGTGTGTACATGTATAGCCGGACCAGTAACAGTGTCTGATGTTTGTGTGTACACGTACAGCCAGACCAGTAACAGTGTCTGATGTAGTGTGTACATGTATAGCCGGACCAGTAACAGTGTGTGATGTTTGTGTGTACATGTATAGCCGGAGCAGTAACAGTGTCTGATGTACTGTGTACATGTATAGCCGGACCAGTAACAGTGTCTGATGTTTGTGTGTACATGTATAGCCGGACCAATAACAGTGTGTGATGTTTGTGTGTACATGTATAGCCGGAGCAGTAACAGAGTCTGATGTTTGTGTGTACACGTACAGCCAGACCAGTAACAGTTTGTGATGTTTGTGTGTACATGTATAGCCGGACCAGTAACAGTGTCTGATGTACTGTGTACATGTATAGCCGGACCAGTAACAGTGTCTGATGTTTGTGTGTACATGTATAGCCGGACCAGTAACAGTGTGTGATGTTTGTGTGTACATGTATAGCCGGAGCAGTAACAGAGTCTGATGTTTGTGTGTACACGTACAGCCAAACCAGTAACAGTGTCTGATGTAGTGTGTACATGTATAGCCGGACCAGTAACAGTGTCTGATGTTTGTGTGTACATGTATAGCCGTACCAGTAACAGTGTTTGATGTTTGTGTGTACACGTATAGCCGGACCAGTAACAGTGTCTGATGTAGTGTGTACATGTATAGGCGGACCGGTAACAGTGTCTGATGTAGTGTGTACATTTGTAGCCGGACCAGTAACAGTGTTTAATGTTGTTTGATGTACATCCGAACCACACGGTTTTTCCTTCGGAAGCTGTGTTTATATAACATAACGGTGGTAGGCTGTGTAAAGAGATAGTTTTACTTTAGAAATGTTGATGGTGATCACGCCTGGAATCCACTCCGGCTTGTCTTTAATAACAAAGACTAAATGGATGCCAGCTAGACTACAGCAGGAAAACAGGAAGTCGCTGGTGATTTTGGAGGGAAAGCCTAAGTCTATATTGATCTTTAAGTACCAGGAATTACACAGGCGCTTTTAGTTTTAGAAATATGAACCTTTTTTGATAGAACGGATACTGGGGTAAATATTTTCAGTCGTTGATACACGTCTGTGTCACGACAGATTTACATAAAGCGATTGATCCTGGGGCGCGGACAACATTAATCGGATGTAACGTGTTTCCACTGGCAATGCAATTTGACATCTACGGAGTCATGGTTCCTCTGAAGTGAACGCAAATGTCCCTGTAATCAAAGACCGTTATTCTCCCAAACGAACGTGTCGTTATTATGTGGACCAGGCGTACACTAATTCCCCGGACAAAATCGTTAAATATATATTGTATTAGTGAATAAGTAGTACCTGTCAGTATATGTTGGATGGTGGCTCAGCAATTTCTCGCTCTTTCAAAATGAGTCTCCATGACACGAAAGCGCACTCACGTTTCTTGTGTATATATTAATATGAAGTTTATTATATATATCATCCTTTCATATATAAAAAAAAAAGAAAGAAAAAATGGATAAAGGAGACAAAACCCTAAAAAATCAACTAACAAAAAAAACCAACAAAAAATCATATGATTGGAAAACGAAAGTTACTCGGAAAGTGACATTTTGACAGGTTTTAAAGTAAAATGTGGACGACCAAATCAACCGGATAAAGCCATTTTGAATTATGACGTAACGTCATTGTCCATATTATGACATCATATTCGATTTATGCCTCGCGCAACGAATGAAAAATCCTCGGATATGAGATATTCTTGCGAAAATATTTACGCTGAGCATTTGTAATTGGCTGTATAACCTTTGTAATTGTCTCTGTCATCGTTGCAATTGATTACACAACCTTTGTAGTTGACTACAAAACCTTTGTAATTGACTACATAACCTTTATAATTGACTACATAACCTTTGTAATTGACTACATAACCTTTGTAATTGACTACTTAACCTTTATAATTGACTACATAACCATTGTAATTTACTACATAACCTTTGTAATTGACTACATAACCTTTGCAATTGACTACTTAACCTTTATAATTGACTACATAACCTTTATAATTGACTACATAACCATTGTAATTGACTACATAACCTTTGTAATTTACTACATAACCTTTGTAATTGACTACTTAACCTTTATAATTGACTACATAACCTTTGTAATTGACTACATAACCTTTGTAATTGACTACATAACCTTTGTAATTGACTGCATAACCATCGTAATTTACTACATAACCTTTGTAATTTACTACATAACTTTTGTAGTTGACTACATAACCTTTGTAGTTGACTACAAAACCTTTGTAATTGACTACATAACCTTTGTAATTGACTACATAACCTTTATAATTGACTACATAACCTTTGTAATTGACTACATAACCTTTGTAATTGACTACTTAACCTTTATAATTGACTACATAACCTTTATAATTGACTACATAACCATTGTAATTGACTACATAACCATTGTAATTGACTACATAACCTTTGTAATTGACTACTTAACCTTTATAATTGACTACATAACCTTTGTAATTGACTACATAACCTTTGTAATTGACTGCATAACCATCGTAATTTACTACATAACCTTTGTAATTTACTACATAACTTTTGTAGTTGACTACATAACCTTTGTAGTTGACTACAAAACCTTTGTAATTGACTACATAACCTTTGTAATTGACTACATAACCTTTATAATTGACTACATAACCTTTGTAATTGACTACATAACCTTTGTAATTGACTACTTAACCTTTATAATTGACTACATAACCATTGTAATTTACTACATAACCTTTGTAATTGACTACATAACCTTTGTAATTGACTACTTAACCTTTATAATTGACTACATAACCATTGTAATTGACTACATAACCATTGTAATTGACTACATAACCTTTGTAATTTACTACATAACCTTTGTAATTGACTACTTAACCTTTGTAATTGACTACTTAACCTTTATAATTGACTACATAACCATTGTAATTGACTACATAACCATTGTAATTGACTACATAACCATTGTAATTGACTACTTAACCTTTGTAATTTACTCTACAGTTTTTTTAATCTCATCATCATAATACATGCACAGACTGATATCTCATGACTTGTCCGAGGCAATATAAATCACAATGTACATTCAGCCCCGATACCTGTCTGCAGTGAAAAAAATACGATCTTGTATATCTAAATTCATTATTTCATTTGCTTGTCTAGCATTCCATGTAGTATACTTTATATATTCCTTTGGCAGCTAGATCGAACCATGTTTCTTCTTTGCTATTTTTGTTCCATGGAATAGGTATATTTTCAAAGTCGGTAACATATGAGTCTACAATATTAAAGACAAATAAAACAGTTATTAAGCACTAGTACCTTGTTCATGTAGTGTTATCTGTTTTACAAGGATAATTCAGGAGAGATAAGGACCCTGAGTTCCTCAAAACTGAATTAAACACCTCCATTTTTTATACTTTCATTTAATTTAAACACAATAAAATGTTCTTAGCTCCCTGGAAATTTCTGTTTTACCAGGATAGATCATAACTTGTTTTCTTATTTCACCTTTCCATGTCAAAATATGATCGAGATCATATTTGTTTGAAATGTTAAAGTCAGAATGAAAGAATTCATCAAGTTTAAAAAGGAAAAAAAATGCACACCGATATTGAAAGTGGAAGTTTAGACTGATCTCATTGTGGGGTCTGCCCTCCCCAGACCCTAAAGTGTTTAGTATCTCCATAGTGTTTAGGCTGATCTCATTGTGGGGTCTGCCCCACTCCCCCAGACCCTAAAGTGTTTAGTATCTCCAAAGCGTTTAGACTTATCTCATTGTGGGGTCTGCCCCCCTCCCCCCCTCCCCCAGACCCTAAAGTGTTTAGTATCTCCAAAGCGTTTAGACTTATCTCATTGTGGGGTCTGCCCTCCTCCCCCAGACCCTAAAGTGTTTAGTATCTCCAAAGCGTTTAGACTTATCTCATTGTGGGGTCTGCCCTCCCCAGACCCTAAAGTGTTTAGTATCTCCAAAGCGTTTAGACTTATCTCATTGTGGGGTCTGCCCTCCCCAGACCCTAAAGTGTTTAGTATCTCCAAAGCGTTTAGACTGATCTCATTGTGGGGTCTGTCCTCCCCAGACCCTAAAGTGTTTAGTATCTCCAAAGCGTACATCTACTGGCAGCATAGTGATGAGTTGTTTTGAAAATGAAAGCCTGTTTGACACCCGCCTGGCAACCCAATGAGCATAATCAAATGTAGGCTTACCAACACTGCAGATTTATGTAAACTCGAGTTTAAGCGCGTTTTCACTTTCCATTCAGCTAACATGCCCGGGAATTGTCTTTCATTTTCAAAGTCTAGACTACTGTAGTATATATGTATGCTCGACCTCGACAGGTTACAACAAAAGCCTAATGTTGACGTACTTGAAACCATGTCACGTGAATCACCATGAAACTACATTAACACTGTATTATCGTGAACATTAACAGCATGCCGATTAATGGTGAGGATTTTATATCTTTCCGAATATTTGCGAAATATTCTATTTCTTTGTGCGATATGAAGCTGTGCGTGTTCGATGCTATTAGTTTGCCTGTTGGTTCCGTTGTTGTATACCTTGTTCTCATTTAAGAACGTGACATTACTTTCTTGGATGAAGCAAAATTTACATGACGAGTGTTGTCGATGAAGCACAAGACGCTTGCACTTCCGGAGCACCTGGTCTTATTCCGCTCATTGTACTTTTTTATGAATCAAACGATAGAATTTGATCTTGGATTATGATTATGTTAACAGCTTATTTTTTCTTACGTGGTAAATCTGACCTGGTCTACTACCAGACAACATTTAATGAAATGAATTCATTCTTAACTTTGTTTCTAGCTTTTTGTAGCACCCCGCAAAAAAATCCAGGGGTTAATTACAGATTACAGGAAATATTACAGGTCTAGGCTTGTGCGACAAGAAAGAAGACGTAACTTCCCACCAACACGAGAATTCTAATCATGGATGCTGTTGTTGATTTGTAGAAGAATTTCTTGTAGAAACTTGGAGAGGAATCTTTTATGGGAATGTACTCTAGAGGAAGCCAGTCTGTCTCGAGATAAAATCTCAGTCTACTTGTTAGTCAAGTTCCGTCAGTAACTATACGCGTTGCCTCTAATTGGAGATCTTGTAACAGCTCAAATTAAGTTTTTGTTATGATTATCCCAGACATTGTCACAATATTAAAAGAATAATCTGGCTAAATTTACAGTACAGAACATGACGAGAAGTACCAACTACATGTTGTGAGATCGTGAGTCAAATTTCTCATTTTAGAATACGATAAAGGTAAATTGATATGAACGGCTAAATCGACATTTTTTCATCAAAAACCAAGATGCTAAAATGAATTAACTTATGTAAATAAAGTATTGTTCATAGATGTAGTTAGTGAGGATACTAGTTTTCTTAGGCATCAAGAAGGTTTCAGTTTTTATATGGTTTAGATTTTAAAATATATAAGAAATCGTTTGCGTCCTTCAGCTTAAACTGCTTTTCACGATACTCAAAATATAAAAGAAGCTCACATTTGTAGATAGAGCATTGTATGATATTTTCCCATGATATAGAGAATACATGGTCAGTGTCTTAAAGTATAAGCCGTATTTTAGCGAGGGTAAAGAAAGACAAAAGTGGCAAGCCTCTTTTGTCTTTTGTCCCGAGCCAAAATACACTGACACTAACCATGAATTCTATTTATTCTGCAACATTGATTGAAAATTAGACTATTGAATCTTAAACAGTTTTGATGTTCAATCTGATGACGGACATCAAAGTAATTGCTCCGCACGGAAATATGTTTACAAACTTCATCGGATATAACGGCGATTTTATGATATTTATAAATCAACTTGTTCATTACAACATGTAAAATCGCTTATTTCAATAACTATTTCTATTTCTAAACTTCATATTTAAGCAAATTCAGAGAGTAATTGTGTCGGATTACCACATGTGCTAAAATACAGCTGTTTTACGTCACTGCCGAATACAGCAAAAATATATGTGGCATGTATATTCCGATAACGTGAATGTCAGTTGCAGGATGAAAAAAACCCAAACCATTTTAATGGCCAAGACACATTTACCACATAGGGCTCTCATTTCATACACATTTGAACAAATTTGGATCATTCCTTTTTCGTACATACACATCATTCTTCCAGTACAAACATTTTAATTACCACGATTACCAAACTCACCTTCTATCCACGCTATACAAGCATTAGTCATAATGGCTATACTTTAACGTGTACATATACATACTTCGGCATGCACGTCATCCATTTTTTAGGTACAAACAGTTCATTGACATAGTCACATTTTGCATAAAAGAAACGTGAAAAAACATATGACCTCTTACAAGAAGGCTCTTAATATACACACACCTTTTTTCTTTCTTTTTCTACCAAATAAACATGTACATCATTTTAACATTTAAAATTTTTTTCTACCAAATAAACACGTACATCATTCCAACATCTTTTTCGGAATTATCTGAACACTTTACACCTTTTTAACACCCACCAAATTATAAATTTCCATTGTAACTTTTTCTCACACCTTTCATAACTTTAACAACAAACAATTACTTTAACAAAGATCAAAGTAACTGTTGTACAAATTGTATATACCTTGGCAAGGTTACACGGCCAGGATGTGTGTGTCGTCATTTTTATATACATTGCATTAGGGGGCATGGTATGATTTTATATAATGTACCCAATGCTTCCTAGAAATTTATCTTTTTTTAGAAGTCAGATTAACTATTACGCTTTTGAAGCTGTCCATTCTTTTCATCATCATCATCATTCTCATCATCATCATCATCATCATCATCATCGTCGTCGTCGTCGTCGTCGTCGTCGTCGTCGTTCTCGTCGACTTCTTCAGACTTTGACATACACTCCTGTACATGACAGTAAATATTCTGTAAACAAGTTCCAGATATTGGATTTCCGCAAATAAAGTTATATCCTTTTGTAGATATAGCATTATATGTTGATAGTCAAGCACAAAATTTTGACCAGAAAGCCATTCTGCTGGTCCGGAAATGTTAGCCCTTCCTTCTGAACGTTTTCTTTTTTATAGCGGTGAAGAAACTTCCAGTTGGTGGATTGCTTTCATTTATACAAACTAGACGTTTGATACATCTATTGGCCTGAAATTTCAGTTTAATACAATTGAAAACTACTAGAAGAAGCTTCGAGCAATTAAACAATGTCATATAACTTACTATCCAGTGTCATACTGATTAGTAAATAAGTGTCCTGCAATATAATCCGGTAACAAACAGAATGTAAGGGCTCGAAATTAGTTGATAACTTCTTTGGAATGCTCCTACCTCATAAAAGAAAGCCTTCCATTTTTGAAACGCAGAAACGGGGTAAGAGATACTGTAAATTGTTTGTTTATGTAATTATGTAATTGATCGTACACCATTCATTACCGGTAAATATTTTAAGCCTGTAAAGGCTTATACATTATTTAAGGAATTCGAATTCAGCAAACAAACCGATTTTTAGCCTCTATCTGTTTACATAAGCAGAAGCTGGGAGTTGCGTCATGTCTGCTTCATGGTCATTTCGGACATTTCATCCATTTCATCCCGATCACCGAAAAGAGAATGTGATGAAAATAGTGCGAACTTGTTCAAACAGTTCCTAATTGTATGATCCGAATCATTTCATACATATGTTACGACATTTTATAGGTATATGAAATCTCGCCAACTTTGCTATCACATTTCCCATTCTCAGATTCTCTAGTCCCATATCCATCAGGGATATTACACCTGATTATGTGTTCTCTAATTCTATTAATGCTTTCGAAGCTTAAGTTAAATTCTACTACACTCTCCCTCTCCAACAAAAATGAATGAAATACATCCTCTTGTAGGTAATACTATGATGAGTCCGAAGAAAAGCTATGTAACAAGTCACTCCTTACCAATTAGAAAACTAAGATATTAGTATTGTGTTCCAGTACAATAGAACATGCATAGATTCGGAGATATGGTACATCCCCACCTGAATGGAACAAGGAGCTACAGTATCCAGTGGTTATATTTTGATCACAACATGTAGATATGCCACTACACCCTCATTTAGCTTGTGTAATTGGTCGCTGGCATGGCATGTGTAGCAGTACCAGGGACGTATAATACTGTATTATACGTCCCTGGCAGTACATGTTAAATGTACAGCTTTCTGCTGGAGACTGGAATGCTATACAATGTATAGGTCAGTTTTAAACAAGGAACAATTTATGTACCAAAAAAAAAGTTGTCCGTCTCAAATATAGGTTGAAGTAGGCAATGCCATACATAACAAGATTACAGAGAGCAAAAATTCTGAATGTCAAAATCATTATAACTTGAAGGAGGTTTTTTTTATCAACAGTGAAATCAATGGCCCTATGATGATGATCAAGGCCTGGAGGGTCATTAATTAGGGTTAAAAAGAGCTAAACTTTCAAAATATTTGTATTTGTAACTGTTCATAAACGATATGAATGAGATAATCAGAATTTATAGTAAAGAAATGGAATTTGCACAACATATCTTTCAGTATGAAAGGTTTTGATCAAACTTTGCTATTAAAAGTCATTCATAATAAACGTTGGAATCTTATACTTAGCAAGTGATATATATATTCATAAACATACTTTTTTTTTAATTCGTTGCTTTGGTATCAGAAAGACTGAAGCATTAGGCTGTGCCATGGTGGTAGTTTACATAAAGTATACTATTGTGGCTAAATGTATGTATTTTCTATAGATAAACTATTGTGGCTCTGTTTTCTCACTATAGATACATGATACTGTAGTGGTTCTGTTTCATCACTAGATGAAATATTCTGGCTCTGTTTTATCACAAGATTTAAAATATTGTGAATTTTAATCACTAGATGAATTATTGTAGCTCTGTTTTATCATTAAATGAACTATTGTTTTGTCAGTAAATGAAATGTACTACTGTGACTTTTTTCAGGTATACAGGAGACAGTTGAGCATCATGTGGTCGACTAAGCTGTGTCGAGTACCTGTCGTAACTTTAGTAGGATCAGTTGGAAAACAGTTCACATTTCGTACAGCTCAGAAGCCTTGCACATTTGTGAAAATACAACAATGTTCCCAAAGTACACGTACATCATTCACCAAAAGAGCACAAAAGAGGATGTCATTGAAGGAGACTACCATGGCTCCAGCAGGAACCAAGGGTAAGTAATTAATATCCTGTACAGATGGTACATTTATAATAATGTGAGCAAAAAAATTTAATCCATGAAATAATGAGACACATGTGTATTAGATGTCCTGTTACATTCAGATCATTAGATTTGCATTTGTTAAAATATGATTTGATTGTTTTATTAGACAGTTGTGAAAATTTTGATCTATGGAATTTATCAGCTGTACAGTTATGACCAATCTTCTGATATCTGTTTCTATTTGAATACGTATGTAATCACATATCCATGTGTTTTCCTCTGATCTAAATTAGGATTATGCAAATTAGTAAAGCAATTAATTTCATGTTTTATCTTTTTCTTATAAGTTTCTGCTTTTGGTAGCATTTCAGATTGGAAATGCTGTAGCAGCCGGGGCCTCTGTAGTGGGAATTGGAGCCTTGTGTTTTTACGGACTGGGTTTGTCCAGTGAAGCAGGGGCTGTTGACAGAGCTATGTAAGCATCAACAACACTGAACTTGTTTCTTAAACTGATGTAGAGTTGTTAGGAATATTCAAACATTTGCAAAATCATCAACTAAAGTAAATTTTGTATATGTTGATCCTGAACAATATAAAAAAAGGCATTCAATGGAGTTAATGCAGTTAATAGTTCATTCTTTCAATTTTAACTAAATTTGTATACAAGTTGATCATAATAAACCAAACTGTTGAGTATATAGGATTAGTGCTGATTCAGATAAAAAGGGAATGTAAGCATTATTTGTCATTGTATAAACATCAAAGACATAAAGGATAGTTACTGGCAAAAATATTAAAAATTACAGCTTTAATTAAATTTGCTCTTAAATTATCTAAAATGTAATACCAGATGAGGAAAATCTCAAGTTGAAGAAATTCTCCAAGAACCAATGTCCTGCCAAGTATCTACCACATTTTTCAGGTTATAAGTTGTACTGGTCTATAGACTGCAGAGTCAATTCTTTCTGATTTTTTTTTTTATTTGATCCACATAGTCACACGAGAATATAAGCAACACCCTTTCTTATGATGTGGTAGCCAGTTTTTTGACTAAAGCTTCTTAATATAACAGACAGTGGAAGACCATTTATCAAGATTGTCAATGAAACAGTTGATAAAGTTTGCAATTGAATTATTCACAAATAATTCTTTATTTCATTGATGTATTTCAGAAAACTTATGATAGCAAATAACGAACTTGTTTGGCTTGGGGCATTCAGAGATTGTCTACACACAGATATAGGGCCTGACACTACATACGGTTTACTAAACAATCCCTCCATCAGTGTCTGCACTGTTATATATTATATATTATGACTATTAAGGAAGACTCTTGCATGCTGACAAAATTCTAACAGTCCCATTTGATTTCTTCTTGTAAGTTACACGAAGCCATTCATATCGTAAACAGGCATGGCAGTCGTTCTAGAATTTGACCTGTCACTCATTGACCTATCAATCCCAGGATGTAAAATGCTATCGTAAAATTCTGATATGGCTACAAAGTAACTACAAAAGTCCAGATGATATAAAGTGATTCATATTAAAAAGTATGATCAATTAAATCCAGGAATGTTTTTTTATTTCAATCTTTAAATCATCCTGTATAGGATTGCAAGTGAAGGTTCTACACAATCTGTTTCAGTCACAAACAGGTGATGAGCAGGTACTCGTAAAAAATGCAGTACTGTCTCCTACTGATTTGTTAATTTTTTTTTTTTTTTTGCACTACCAAGTTTTTGCAGCTTATAATCCAGAAAATACGGCAGTATAAGTTTTGGTTCATCCACTAGGTTTAATCAGAAAGATACCTTACAGTGTACAGAGCCCTCTTAAATTAAGTAAACAAATAAAAAAGAAGGGGGACAATTCCTGAAGCCAGGTTTCCTAACAGAATATTTTTTCATCCAGTTCCTGGTTCTGGTTGCAAATGTGTTTTGGCATGATGCAGGCTGCCTGCCTGCTTAAATGTGGTTAGAAGTGTAGAACACTGTATTTATTTAGTAATAATTGGAATTAAAGTTAGTTTTAATCCACATGGTAAATGCAATATAGATGTGCTTTTAATGTTATATCTGTAAATAGACTTTCTGATATAGTATTTCCCCTTGTTCTGTTGTACTTGTAGCACTATATTGGTGAGTACTGCTACAGATTATGACCAATTCAGACATACTGATGTTCCTATCATTTGTACAAGCTGATAAGTAATTTTCAAGCACTGTACCTCAATGTTGTATTTTGCAAAAGAATAAAGCAATTCCAAGCAAACAAGAGCACTCTCTAAAGCCAACAGTAATTTGTGTGGCATTATTGTTCTTATTTATACAGTGATTAAGTAGATATTGGTAATCTATATTGTAGTTTATTTTGATTGTAATAATAGAATTTACGGAAAAACTACAGATTATTATGTTTGCTAGCATGTGAGGAAATCTGGGAATAAGAGTTATGCCCCTTGCATCATCAACAAAACTTATACTCAACTTGGTGATTGAAAGAAAGAAGAAAATGTATGAAACTTTATCGTTAATATTAAAGATATGTAATCACTTTCAACTCACAATGATATCTTATGATACTGAGTAAATTTGTAATTAAAAGTAGTCACAATATTATCGTTTTATACTGAGTAAAAGTGTGATTAAAAGTAGTCAAGATATTATCGTTTTATACTGAGTAAAAGTGTGATTAAAAGTAGTCAAGATGATATCTTATTATACTGAGTCAAAGTTTGAGTAAAAGTAGTCATAGTGATACCTTATTATATTGAGTAAAAGTAGTCAAAGTGATATCTTATACTGAGTCAAAGTGCGAGTAAAAGTAGTCAGGGTGATATCTTATACTGAGTCAAAGTGCGAGTAAAAGTAGTCAGGGTGATATCTTATACTGAGTCAAAGTGTGATTGAAAGTAGTCAGGGTGATATCTTATTATATTGAGTAAAAGTGTCAGTTGAATTAGTAACAATGATATTTTCTTTATCTGAGTAATAGTGTGAGTAAAATGCTTGAGAATACTGGTACATATCGTGAGCAGAGATGATTATGACTGTGAAGATATGTTTATACAAAGGTCTCAATGTAGACCACACAAACCATACAGACAGAAACAGAGGTACTCCTCTAAAATCTTCTGTACACAGACTTTTAGTGATAATGTATTTTCTTATCATACATGTGGAATTAAAAAGTGTGGACCTAAAATTCACTGTTTTTCTGTAGAATGTGGTCCCAGGAGGTGAGACATCGTATCAGAGCTACCTACATGTACTTTGGTGGCAGCGTTGCACTAACAGCATTGTCAGCCATGGCTGTTGTACGAACCCCCGTCCTCATGAACCTGGCGATGAAGAACTCCTGGCTGGTAATTGTGTTTCTATCATATGGAAGTATATTGGGTGTCTAGTGACTTTGGTCGGACATATTGTTTCGTAATGTAGGCTGGGTGGAAATAAAACCAGTAATGCTTCCTTACAAAATCAGCAAGAATTTATTATGCTCATAATATTCCACTTTGAATTAGTTGTACAGTAAATATTGCAGCTAGCAGAAGCATGATTAAGGTTTTCATTTTCAGGCAATAGGGGCCTCTTTTGCTGCCATGATCGGCACAGGGATGGTTTGTCGATCCATCCCCTACAAGGAGGGTTTCGGGGCCAAACAGCTGGCATGGATGCTGCATAGTGGTGTGATAGGAATGGTGATTGCCCCTATAACACTGATGGGTGGCCCAATCCTTGTGAGGGCTGCATGGTATACTGCTGGAGTTGTGGGAGGTATTAAAAAGTTTACATCAGAGAAAATTCTTGTTAATATTATGTAGCCCAGTATCAATAAGTTTTCTGATCTATTCTTAACAAAACTTGTCATTCATTGTTGAAATAAAGAACAAACAGTGAGATGGGTTGAGTGAGTGTTAGTGTAGTACTGTGTCAAGAATAGGTGAGTGAAGTCATCAAGCCAAATAGATATACTTATAACTAAGTACACAAAGATAGGCAAGCCTAGCATAAATAATAGATCTGAGAATTTTTATTGTTATTGAATGCTAGAAACATTAGATTACCACAGAAAGTAGTAAAGAGAATGGTGCAAAATTATTTTACATAAAGTTCACATGTACTGATACCAGTTTAACTTCTTTCTGAAGGACTTTCTGCACTTGCCATGTGTGCGCCTAGTGAGAAGTTCCTCAACATGGGAGCCCCTCTGACAATTGGTCTTGGTCTGGTAGTGGTTTCCTCCCTTGGTAAGAACTCTTTTGACTTTGTACATTTTGTGCAGTTTATTTATTTGAGAATATGTGACATTTTTTTTTTTTTTCAGTTCTTGTATGACATTTGTCATTCAATGTTGTCATAAAGATGTTATCATTATTAGAGATCTTTACATGTTTATAATCACCACTTAATAAAGGAAGTATAATATTCATACACTGTAATTTCTTTGTATGTAACTACAAACCAAGGGCCTGTTTGACTGGTTTGTCAGCATTCCAAACGTAACATTTCAGTTATAAATCAGAATGATCTTACAAATATTAATACAGACCTTTCAGGTTCTATTTCATCCTCACACCATAGCATCATCAAGTTTTACACCATAATAGATTTTAATGGTTGATAAAGAAAAATTAATTAGTTCACAAAACCTCATAGTATAAATACATCAAATCTTACACCTGATTAGATTTTGGTGCTCATTGTTCAAGGTTAAAAGTTCAAAAGACATACTTGATTACTTTTTGAATAAAAGGTTTGTATACAAGATATCTCATGAACCTCTCAACAAAAGTTCAGAATGAAAGGATCAGTGATTACAATGTAAATGTATGTGAGTTTCTGCTCTCTTTGTTTTCATTAAAAATCTTCAAAACTATGAATTTAAGATAGAAATGTCCATTTTCGCTCCTTTAAAAGTATGGATAAAATGTTTCAAAACTATTGTTCGGCCAAAAAAAGATTAGAAGTTTCATCACAGTATATCAGTAACATACCTCTTATCTACTTACATTTTACCTATTTAAAATAATTTCCATAAACCAGTATCATGTCAGTTTTTACAAATACTTGTAAAAATAACTTATATTCAATTATATATGACCATTCTGTTACAGGTACCATGTTTTTCCCACCTGCTACGGCCCTAGGTGCAGGACTGTACTCCTTCAGTTTGTATGGAGGGGTGGTCCTTTTCGGAATGTTCTTGCTCTATGACACACAGAAAATCATCAAAAATGCTGAACACCACCCATCCTACTCTCCTGTTCCTTACGATCCTGTCAACCAGTAAGTACTGCTGGCTTAGATAAAAGAAAATTGAGGTAGCTGTAGGAGATATAGAGGATAAGTTTGTAATGTCTGCTTGTGTTTTAATAGTGTTAAACTACAGAAATACTAATAGCTCCCAACTTCCAACTGAAGATGTAAGACAATCAGTGTTAATCAGTGTTTTATATCGGGTATTTTATGTGGCTAGAAGCTTCTCAGGAGCTCCACGAGATCTTGGGATGTTCTCATATTCATGTGACATTGCTGTAGGTGTTGCACTTATTTAGTGTGAAAAGGTAAGGGGTCACCTGCCCGACCACGTGGGTTTTCCTCAGGTACTCTGGTTTCCTCCCACAATAAGACCCCTAGCACGCTTACATCTGGGCCAACAAGTTATTAGTATAAGTTGACATAACTTGTTTTGCAGTTGTTGTAAAATTATATTTTACACTTATTTAGACTTGATTGGTTGTTTTATTAGAAATTCCACTTGATATGTATCCTCTCAAAGTCTAATTATTATATTTCTATTGTTATTAACCTGTACATCATTAATGTCTTTGTCACGATGATGTTTCAGATCGATTGGTATCTACCTGGACACCATCAACATCTTCATCCGACTGGCAATGATTCTTCAAGGTGGCAAGAAGAAGTAAAAATGTGATGATTTTAAAATGAGTGAAGTTGGTACCTTCATAACTTGAAATAAAGTGTGATAATTGATATTCCATTGAAACACTGCAGATGAGAAAGAGTACATTTCAGCGGAGGAACCAAGCATGTCTCCTGCTGGAATTATGAACAGGAGAGACATCAAAGGCTCAGAATGTTATAATTGATGGAATGAGGGACCTGGAAGAATGCTTTTGGCTGACAAGACAGTTGTGATATAATCACAGTATTACAATATTCCACTCTATTTCAGTTGTATAATTTATTTATATAGGACATGAGCTGATGTGAGGACATCATTGTGTAAATTTCAGGAGAGTATCGAGATGTAGATACAGTCAAATAGTAGTTAATATTCCTGGTAATACCATCTTAAGCCACCCTATAGGCTTTATATTGCACAAGGAGATATATAACATTTTAGTCAAAGTATCTAATACTGGGTACATTTACACCTGATTTTCTTCGATTGTAATAAATGTGTTATTTTGTTTGTTTTGTTGTTGATCAATTTATTCACTGGATCCACTCCAGTGATTCTGATTGGAATGTATCTCTCTACTTGAACCACACCAGTGATTCTGGAGAGAATGTATATCTCTACTTGAACCACACCAGTGATTCTGATTGGAATGTATCTCTCTACTTGAACCACACCAGTGATTCTGAGAGAATGTATCTCTCTACTTGAACCACACCAGTGATTCTGGAGAGAATGTATCTCTCTACTTGAACCACACCAGTGATTCTGATTGGAATGTATCTCTCTACTTGAACCACACCAGTGATTCTGATTGGAATGTATCTCTCTACTTGAACCACACCAGTGATTCTGGAGAGAATGTATCTCTCTACTTGAACCACACCAGTGATTCTGATTGGAATGTATCTCTCTACTTGAACCACACCAGTGATTCTGATTGGAATGTATCTCTACTTGAACCACACAAGTGATTCTGGAGAGAATGTATCTCTCTACTTGAACCACACCAGTGATTCTGGAGAGAATGTATCTCTCTACTTGAACCACACCAGTGATTCTGGAGAGAATGTATATCTCTACTTGAACCACACCAGTGATTCTGGAGAGAATGTATCTCTCTACTTGAACCACACCAGTGATTCTGGAGAGAATGTATCTCTCTACTTGAACCACACCAGTGATTCTGGAGAGAATGTATCTCTCTACTTGAACCACACCAGTGATTCTGGAGAGAATGTATCTCTCTACTTGAACCACACCAGTGATTCTGGAGAGAATGTATCTCTCTACTTGAACCACACCAGGAGAGAATGTATCTCTCTACTTGAACCACTCCAGTGATTCTGGAGAGAATGTATCTCTCTACTTGAACCACACCAGTGATTCTGGAGAGAATGTATCTCTCTACTTGAACCACTCCAGTGGTTCTGGAGAGAATGTATCTCTCTACTTGAACCACTCCAGTGGTTCTGGAGAGAATGTATCTCTCTACTTGAACCACACCAGTGATTCTGGAGAGAATGTATCTCTCTACTTGAACCACACCAGTGATTCTGGAGAGAATGTATCTCTCTACTTGAACCACACCAGTGATTCTGATTGGAATGTATCTCTCTACTTGAACCACACCAGTGATTCTGGAGAGAATGTATCTCTCTACTTGAACCACACCAGTGATTCTGGAGAGAATGTATCTCTCTACTTGAACCACACCAGTGATTCTGGAGAGAATGTATATCTCTACTTGAACCACACCTGTGATTCTGGAGAGAATGTATCTCTCTACTTGAACCACACCAGTGATTCTGGAGAGAATGTATCTCTCTACTTGAACCACACCAGTGATTCTGGAGAGAATGTATATCTCTACTTGAACCACACCAGTGATTCTGGAGAGAATGTATCTCTCTACTTGAACCACAAAAGTGATTCTGGAGAGAATGTATCTCTCTACTTGAACCACACCAGTGATTCTGGAGAGAATGTATATCTCTACTTGAACCACACCAGTGATTCTGGAGAGAATGTATCTCTCTACTTGAACCACACCAGTGATTCTGGAGAGAATGTATATCTCTACTTGAACCACACCAGTGATTCTGGAGAGAATGTATATCTCTACTTGAACCACACCAGTGATTCTGGAGAGAATGTATCTCTCTACTTGAACCACACCAGTGATTCTGGAGAGAATGTATATCTCTACTTGAACCACACCAGTGATTTTGGAGAGAATGTATATCTCTACTTGAACCACACCAGTGATTCTGGAGAGAATGTATATCTCTACTTGAACCACACCAGTGATTCTGGAGAGAATGTATATCTCTACTTGAACCACACCAGTGATTTTGGAGAGAATGTATATCTCTACTTGAACCACACCAGTGATTTTGGAGAGAATGTATATCTCTACTTGAACCACACCAGTGATTCTGGAGAGAATGTATATCTCTACTTGAACCACACCAGTGATTCTGGAGAGAATGTATATCTCTACTTGAACCACACCAGTGATTTTGGAGAGAATGTATATCTCTACTTGAACCACACCAGTGATTTTGGAGAGAATGTATCTCTCTACTTGAACCACACCAGTGATTTTGGAGAGAATGTATATCTCTACTTGAACCACACCAGTTATTCTGGAGAGAATTTTATACCCGATCCCCTTCGGTGATTCTATACCAGATCTACTCCAGTGATTTTATACATGATCCCCTTCAGTGATTCTATACCAGATCCACTCCAGTGATTTTATACGTGATCCCCTTCGGTGATTCTATACCAGATCTACTCCAGTGATTTTATACATGATCCCCTTCAGTGATTCTATACCAGATCCACTCCAGTGATTTTATACGTGATCCCCTTCGGTGATTCTATACCAGATCTACTCCAGTGATTTTATACATGATCCCCTTCGGTGATTCTATACCAGAATACTGGATTTCCTTCATTTATTCTACATCTGATCCCCTCCAGTACCCGCTATATTTGGACACCCACCTCCCCTATAGTTATTCTACATCTAATCCCCTCCAGTACCCGCCATACTTGGACACCCACCTCCCCTCTAGTTATTCTACATCTGATCCCCTCCAGTACCCGCCATACTTGGACACCCACCTCCCCTCCAGTTATTCTACATCTGATCCCCTCCAGTACCCGCCATACTTGGACACCCACCTCCCCTCCAGTTATTCTACATCTGATCCCCTCCAGTTCCCGCCATACTTGGACACCCACCTCCCCTCCAGTTATTCTACATCTGATCCCCTCCAGTACCCGCCATACTTGGACACCCACCTCCCCTCTAGTTATTCTACATCTGATCCCCTCCAGTACCCGCCATACTTGGACACCCACCTCCTTTAGTTATTATACATTTGATCCCCTCCAGTACCCGCCATACTTGGAAACGCACATCTCCTCCAATTATTTTGCATCGGATCCCCTCCAGTACCCGCCATACTTGGACACCCACCTCCCCTCCAGTTATTCTACATCTGATCCCCTCCAGTACCCGCCATACTTGGACACCCACCTCCCCTCTAGTTATTCTACATCTGATCCCCTCCAGTACCCGCCATACTTGGACACCCACCTCCCCTCCAGTTATTCTACATCTGATCCCCTCCAGTACCCGCCATACTTGGACACCCACCTCCCCTCCAGTTATTCTACATCTGATCCCCTCCAGTACCCGCCATACTTGGACACCCACCTCCCCTCCAGTTATTCTACATATGATCCCCTCCAGTACCCACCATACTTAGAAACGCACCTCCCCTCCAATTATTTGCATCGAATCCCCTCCAGTACGCACAATACTTGGACACCCACCTCCCCTCCAGTTATTCTACATCTGATCCCCTCCAGTACCCGCCATACTTTGACACCCACCACTTTTTGTTATTCTATATCTAATCCCCTCCAGTTCCCGCCATACATGGACACCCTCCTCCCCTCCAGTTATTTTACATCTAATCCCCTCCAGTACCCGCCATACTTGGACACCCACCTCCCCTCCAGTTATTCTACATCTGATCCCCTCCAGTACCCGGCATACTTGGACACCCACCTCTCCTCCAGTTATTCTACATCTGATCCCCTCCAGTACCCGCCATACTTGGACACCCACCTCCCCTCTAGTTATTCTACATCTGATCCCCTCCAGTACCCGCCATACTTGGACACCCACCTCCCCTTCAGTTATTCTAAACTAATCCCCTCCAGTACCCGCCATACTTGGACACCCACCTCCCCTCTAGTTATTCTACATCTGATCCCCTCCAGTACCCGCCATACTTCCCCCCTCCCCTTAGTTTTTACATCTGAGTACCCTCTCCATACATATTTGGACACCCACCTCCCCTCCAGTTATTCTACATCTGAACCCCTCCAGTACCCGCCATACTTGGACACCCACCTCCCCTCAAGTTATTCTACATCTGATCCCCTCCAGTACCCGCCATATATGGACACCGACCTCCCCTCCAGTTATTCTACATCTGATCCCCTCCAGTACCCGCCATACATGGACACCCTCCTCCCCTCCAGTTATTTTACATCTAATCCCCTCCAGTACCCGCCATACTTGGACACCCACCTCCCCTCCAGTTATTCTACATCTGACCCCCTCCAGTACCCGCCATACTTGGAAACGCACCTCCCCTCTAGTTATTCTACATCTGATCCCCTCCAGTACCCGCCATACTTGGAAACGCACCTCCCCTCCAATTATTTTGCATCGGATCCCCTCCAGTACCCACAATACTTGGACACCCACCTCCCCTCCAGTTATTCTACATCTGATCCCCTCCAGTACCCGCCATACTTGGACACCCACCTCCCCTCCAGTTATTCTACATCTGATCCCCTCCAGTACCCGCCATACTTGGAAACGCATCTCCCCTCCAATTATTTTGCATCTGATCCCCTCCAGTACCCGCCATACTTGGACACCCACCTCCCCTCCAGTTATTCTACATCTGATCCCCTCCAGTACCCGCCATACTTGGACACCCACCTCCCCTCCAGTTATTCTACATCTGATCCCCTCCAGTACCCGCCATACATGGACACCCACCTCCCCTCCAGTTATCTTACATCTGATCCCCTCCAGTACCCGCCATACTTGGACACCCACCTCCCCTCCAGTTATTCTACATCTGATCCCCTCCAGTACCCGCCATACTTGGACACCCACCTCCCCTCCAGTTATCCCCTCCAGTTCTACATATTGGATCCCCTCCAGTACCCGCCATACTTGGACACCCACCTCCCCTCCAGTTATTCTACATCTGATCCCCTCCAGTACCCGCCATACTTGGACACCCACCTCCCCTCTAGTTATTCTACATCTGATCCCCTCCAGTACCCGCCATACTTGGACACCCACCTCCCCTCCAGTTATTCTACATCTGATCCCCTCCAGTACCCGGCATACTTGGACACCCACCTCTCCTCCAGTTATTCTACATCTGATCCCCTCCAGTACCCGCCATACTTGGACACCCATCCCCTCCAGACATCCCCCATACTTGGACACCCACCTCCCCTCCAGTTATTCTACATCTGATCCCCTCCAGTACCCGCCATACTTGGACACCCACCTCCCCTCCAGTTATTCTACATCTGATCCCCTCCAGTACCCACAATACTTGGACACCCACCATCCCTCCAGTTATTCTACACCTAATCCCCTCCAGTACTAGCCATACTTGGAAACGCACCTCCCCTCCAATTATTTTGTATCTGATCCCCTCCAGTTTCCGCCATACTTGGAGACCCACCTCCCCTCTAGTTATTCTACATATGATCCCCTCCAGTACCCGCCATACTTGGACACCCACCTCCTTTAGTTATTATACATTTGATCCCCTCCAGTACCTCCCATACTTGGACACCCACCTTCCCTCCAGTTATTCTACATCTGATCCCCTCCAGTACCCGCCATACTTTGACACCCACCTCCCCTCCAGTTATTCTACATCTGATCCCCTCCAGTACCCGCCATACTTGGACACCCACCTCCCCTCTAGTTATTCTACATCTGATCCCCTCCAGTACCCGCTATACTTGGACACCCACCTCCCCTCCAGTTATTTGCATCGAATCCCCTCCAATACGCACAATACTTGGACACCCACCTCCCCTCCAGTTATTCTACATCTGATCCCCTCCAGTTCCCGCCATACTTGGACACCCACCTCCCCTCTAGTTATTCTACATCTGATCCCCTCCAGTACCCGCTATACTTGGACACCCACCTCCCCTCCAGTTATTCTACATCTGATCCCCTCCAGTACCCGCCATACTTGGACACCGACCTCCCCTCCAGTTATTCTACATCTGATCCCCTCCAGTACCCGGCATACTTGGACACCCACCTCTCCTCCAGTTATTCTACATCTGATCCCCTCCAGTACCCGCCATACTAGGACACACCTCCCCTCCCCTCCCCCAGTTATTCTACATCTGATCCCCTCCAGTACCCGCCATACTTGGACACCCACCTCCCCTCCAGTTATTCTACATCTGATCCCCTCCAGTACCCGCCATACTTGGACACCCACCTCCCCTCCAGTTATTCTACATCTGATCCCCTCCAGTACCCGCCATACTTGGACACCCACCTCCCCTCCAGTTATTCTACATCTGATCCCCTCCAGTACCCGCCATACTAGGACACCCACCTCCCCTCCAGTTATTCTACACGTGATCCCCTCCAGTACTCGCCATATTTGGACACCCACCTCCCCTCTAGTTATTTTACATCTGATCCCCTCCAGTACCCGCCATACTTGGAAACGCACCTCCCCTCCAGTTATTCTACATCTGATCCCCTCCAGTACCCGCCATACTTGGACAGCCACCTCCCCTTCAGTTATTCTAAACTAATCCCCTCCAGTTTCCGCCATACTTGGAGATCCACCTCCCCTCTAATTATTCTACATCTGATCCCCTCCAGTACCCGCCATACTTGGAAACCCACCTCCCCTCCAGTTATTCTACATCTGATCCCCTCCAGTACCCGGCATACTTGGACACCCACCTCTCCTCCAGTTATTCTACATCTGATCCCCTCCAGTACCCGCCATACTAGGACACCCACCTCCCCTCCAGTTATTCTACATGTGATCCCCTCCAGTACTCGCCATATTTGGACACCCACCTCCCCTCTAGTTATTCTGAACTGATCCCCTCCAGTTCCCGCCATACTTGGACACCCACCTCCTCTCTAGTTATTCTACATCTGATCCCCTCCAGTACCCGCCATATATGGACACCCACCTCCCCTCCAGTTATTCTACATCTGATCCCCTCCAGTACCCGCCATACTTGAACACCCACCTTCCGTCCAGTTATTCTACATCTGATCCCCTCCAGTACCCGCCATACTTGGACACCCACCTACCCTCCAGTTATTCTACATCTGATCCCCTCCAGTACCCGCCATATATGGACACCCACTTCCCCTCCAGGTATTCTACATCTGATCCCCTCCAGTACTCGCCATATATGGACACCCACCTCCCCTCCAGTTATTCTACATCTGATCCCCTCCCGTACCTGTCATGCATGGACACTCACCTCCCCTCTAGTTATTCTACATCTAATCCCCTTCAGTACCCGCCATATATGGACACCCACCTCCCCTCCAGTTATTCTACATCTGATCTCCTCCAGTACCCGCCATACATGGACACCCATCTCCCGTCTAGTTATTCCATACTGTATAACATGCAGTACCTTCTAGAACAGATTACACACAGTACCTTATAGACCGAATTCTAGACAGATCCCTTCCAAACCCACTTATCATGTGTTATCGAATGAATCTCATGTCGGCTCTCGCGAGCGATTGTGATATTTTAAATAATATAATGCACAACATGCAGTCCGGGACATTCACATCGGTCACCGACCTCGTATAAAGATAAATTCTTTAAAGTTTGGAATTTATGTCATCGCCTTGTAATGTTAAAGGAAAGAGATTCGAATTCCAGCAGGATCAGGATTTGCTTCCTTCAGGCTTGTGTACACCTCTTCCTCTTAATCTTATATATACGATCCTCTTACTCTATCCCATATACGACCTCTCCACAATATATCGTTAATTCCTTATACAACATCTCTGCTATATATCGTTAATCCCTGATACAACATCTCTGCTATATATCGTTAATCCTTTATACGACCTCTCCCCTATATATTGTTAATCCCTTATACAACCTCTCCCCTATATATCGTTAATCCCGTTACGACCTATCCCCAATATTATGTTAATCCTTGATACGACCTCTTCCCTATATATCGTTAATCCCTGATACAACCTCTCTCCTATATATTGTTAATCCCTTATACGACCTCTCCCCTACATATTGTTAATCCCTTATACGACCTCAACCCTATATATTTTTAATCCCTTATACGACCTCTCCACAATACATTTTGTATATTGTTAATCCCTTATACCACATCTCCCCTATATATCGTTTATCCCTTATAAGACCTCTCCCCTATATATCGTTAATCCCGTTACGACCTCTCCCCTATATATTGTTAATCCTTTATACGACCTCTTCCCTATATATCGTTAAACCCTAATCAGACCTCTCCCCTATATATTGTTAATCCCTTATATGACCTCTCCCATATATATTGTTAATCCTTTATACGACCTTTCCCCTATATATTGTTAATCCCTTATATAACCTCTCCCCTATATATCGTTAATCCCGTTACGACCTATCCCCAATATATTGCTAATCCTTTATACGACATCTCCCCTATATATTGTTAATTCCTGATACGACCTCTTCCCTTCGTATCGTTAATTCCTTATGCCGCTTATAATCAACCAAAGGGATTATTGAAACACTTATATCTAAAAGAAATCCTCAATTGTATTAAGAAAACAACAGGTATACAAATAATCTAATATATATGTAAACAAATAATCATTTATATATATATGTAAACAGCGGAAATGTTCATTTATATATAAACTCAGTGCAGGAGTAACGGAAAGAAGTTCATTTATATATAAACTCAGTGTAGTTATAGAGCTTGTTAACGGAAATGAAGTTCATTTATATATAAACTCAGTGCAGTTATAGAGCTTGTTAACGGAAATGAAGTTCATTTATATATAAACTCAGTGCAGTTATAGAGCTTGTTAACGGAAATGAAGTACAGTTTTTATATACAGAACAGACGTGATCTTTTATACATTAAATCAATATACATGTACACAGATTTCATAGCTTTTCTAGTGTTAGCAGAAATATAACGAAATTAATCCTCAATTTTATCACTGTTATAACAATATATATTATCTAAATTTCGTTCCAAAATTCAATACTTCTCTTCTTCATCTTCTCACGGTGCCTAAAAACCCTATACTGTACGTTTGGAGGGGTATCTAGATACCTACAGCGTGCTGTTTTCTATAATAACATACTCACAAGGGTAGAGTTATTATCTAATACATATTTAATACATTTTAACTATAGGATAGGGAAAGCGTTTTGGTACCATCTCTGATTGAGTGATGTATAGGGCTAGTAGTGAGATCTGACCGGGGATTGGTACGGCTAATATGCTGGAGGGGGAGTTACATTAATCCTCCTCCCTGCTTGTCATGTTTTCATAAAGCTGCAGTCGCCGTTTCGGTGATGTATTCCGACACTATCAAAGACCGAGGAGTATTTATTGGTCGGCTCTAATTTGTGCGTTGATTATTTTGGGAGGATCCTCTTCAGTACGTTCAGACGTAAGTCAATACCCGCTACAACTATATCCAGTGATGGTACACATTTAAAGAGAAAATTTCATTAATTTCGCTCGCTATTTTTCGCTTTTTATACCATGTACACCTGACCTGAAGACCTAAACATTTCGGACAGCAAATATAAACTTCTGTACGCTTTCATTTCCACACTTTCTATGTTTTCTGCTGGTCAAGAGAATCGGTTTGTCCAGCATCTATTATGATGAGGCGTTATTGTTAAATTTTGATCGGGCAAAAGGAACAACTCCCACATTCAACATTAGTGACGTGATATTGTGTGAGAAGGTATAAATCTATATAAAACTGCTGAGGAAAGCGTGCAGTGTGGACATGTTTCCGACAGATATCTCGGGAGGCACGTCCCAGGAATACTTCGATCTCGACCAGGGCATAGGAGGGTCGGGGTACCAGGATTTCTCCGTCTCTATGGAGTACTGGACGGACAACGTAAACACGTGGTCTACAGACTGTCACGATACCACTCAGCAAAGCTATTGTTATGACTACCAACAATGTTGTCCTTCCAATAATGGTCCGGGAATGGCTGCTTGTGCTTTATCTCCGGACGGACAATTCGATAGCCGATCACAGGAATACCAAGTTTGTGACGTAACACAACAGGTGACAAAATCGAACCAAGAGGTGAGAAACAGCAACAGTAAAAAAACGAGGGAAGTCCCAGATTTGATTCGTGAGGGAGCTACGGAACGAGAAAGATTACGTATGCATTCCCTGAACGATGCGTTCGACAACCTTCGTCGTGTCGTTCCCAAATCCAACCTTAGTGATCACCATAAATTGTCCAAGATCGCTACGCTTCGCTTAGCAATCCACTACATCGCAGCGCTTGGCGGGATTCTAAAGAGTAGTGGGGTCGAGGTTCGAGTCATTGAGGATCAGAGTGCAGGGGACATGCGCGGAAAACGAAGGAGGTTCCGGTCACGCGGAAGGAAAACAGGACATTTTACAACCAATTAGGTTATATGAAAGGTATTTTTAAAGTACAAACAGTATGTAGAAAATACATAACAATGCCGAACACGTGACATTGTGTTACTGCAGTGCTTTACTAAGGCAACCAGGAATGGTGGTTTGCGAGGTTGACAAATTAACACAGCTATTTATAAAACTTTCTGTAGTTTACAGCGATGGCGGAATACGTTTTATCAAGTAGTGAAAACTCCACACATGTTGACCAGGGATAAATCAGATAGATCTATTGAAATGGTTGGTATAGTATAAAATACTTTAATACAATCAGTAAATTAGGGTATCCAAACACAAGTAGATATATGTTAACTCCGATGTGATCGGTTGGGAACAAATATTTTGTAAGCTGTGTGTTACTCTGTATAATCTTAGTTTAGACTGATACATCAGATTAAATATTATTTCATCAATATCTCATAGTTATATTTGTGTATAATGTTAGAATGTTTGTATTGGATACATATAAACGATACAGAATGTGTCGCCGACATAGTCATGAATCTGTTTATTAACCTACAAATTTCGTAATGAATCAGTTTTACATTGTCTGTATATTCATGCGTGTTATGAGTTATCTACATGTTAAAGCGATTAAGATGTCTCCACATTTATAACGAGTTACAGCATACACTGCACATTTTCATTTCCATTTTCCATTACAATGATCAATTTAACAGTGAATCTTAACCTTTTTTTATAAATGAACATTATTACATCCAATGATTAAAGGCCACGTGCTTTACCTTGATGTTTTACATTAGGACACACGAGAACTTATCAATTTAGAAAATGTCAATACCTGTCCAATTTCTAAGTTGTCTACTATATAGAATTGTATGTTTATCTATAAATGTTTCTCACACGACCTCTACGCTATTTTGATTCATCACGTTCGTTTTTTTATCATGGATTACGTGTTAAGGGTTAAAGCAAAAGGAATTATTTGTTATTGTTTTTTGTTCTCGGAGACGGAATGAAGATGCAGCCTTTTTAATAGTTCTATCATCACCACTGAATGACTTTGAGATACTGTTGTAGTTGATATTGTCCGACATCCTGTACTTACTTCTCGCTGACAGTGGTGATAATTCTCGACGCCAGATTTAACGGATATTGACTTTGGTATGTCAAATATGATTGAAATAAAAATAAGATAAATTCTGTGTTTCTGGAGCCTTGCATTACAGATCATTTATAATTTTACCATTTGAAACGTTAACGAAGTTTCAGTACACGTTTGTTACTAACAAAAATCTGCTCTTTCTACTTTTATTACATGTGTTGGAAATGTCGTCTCTCCTTTTATTACACGTGTTTGACAAGTCGTCTCTCCTTTTATTACACGTGTTTGAAATGTAATCTCTCCTTTTATTACATGTGTTTGACATGTCGTCTCTCCTTTTATTACACGTGTTTGACATGTCGTCTCTCCTTTTATTACACGTGTTTGAAATGTAATCTCTCCTTTTATTACACGTGTTTGACATGTCGTCTCTCCTTTTATTACACGTGTTTGACATGTCGTCTCTCCTTTTATTACACGTGTTTGACAAGTCGTCTCTCCTTTTATTACACGTGTTTGAAATGTAATCTCTCCTTTTATTACATGTGTTGGAAATGTCGTCTCTCCTTTTATTACACGTGTTTGAAATGTAATCTCTCCTTTTATTACACGTGTTTGAAATGTAATCTCTCCTTTTATTACACGTGTTTGACATGTCGTCTCTCCTTTTATTACACGTGTTTGACATGTCGTCTCTCCTTTTATTACACGTGTTTGAAATGTCGTCTCTCCTTTTATTACACGTGTTTGAAATGTAATCTCTCCTTTTATTACATGTGTTGGAAATGTCGTCTCTCCTTTTATTACACGTGTTTGAAATGTAATCTCTCCTTTTATTACACGTGTTTGACATGTCGTCTCTCCTTTTATTACACGTGTTTGAAATGTAATCTCTCCTTTTATTACACGTGTTTGACATGTCGTCTCTCCTTTTATTACACGTGTTTGAAATGTCGTCTCTCCTTTTATTACACGTGTTTGAAATGTAATCTCTCCTTTTATTACACGTGTTTGACAAGTCGTCTCTCCTTTTATTACACGTGTTTGAAATGTAGTCTCTCCTTTTATTACACTTGTTTGAAATGTAATCTCTCCTTTTATTACACGCGTTTGACATGTCGTCTCTCCTTTTATTACACGTGTTTGACATGTCGTCTCTCCTTTTATTACACGTGTTTGAAATGTAATCTCTCCTTTTATTACACGTGTTTGACATGTCGTCTCTCCTTTTATTACACGTGTTTGACATGTCGTCTCTCCTTTTATTACATGTGTTGGAAATGTCGTCTCTTCTTTTATTACACGTGTTTGACATGTCGTCTCTCCTTTTATTACACGTGTTTGAGATGTCGTCTCTCCTTTTATTACACGTGTTGGAAATGTCGTCTCTCCTTTTATTACACGTGTTTGAAATGTCGTCTCTCCTTTTATTACACGTGTTGGACATGTCGTCTCTCCTTTTATTACACGTGTTGGACATGTCGTCTCTCCTTTTATTACACGTGTTCGAAATGTTGTCTCTCCTTTTATTACACGTGATTGACATGTCGTCTCTCCTTTTATTACACGTGTTTGAAATGTCGTCTCTCCATTTATTACACGTGTTGGAAATGTCGTCTCTCCTTTTATTACACGTGTTGGAAATGTCTCTCCTTTTATTACACGTGTTGGAAATGTCGTCTCTACTTTTATTACACGTGTTGGAAATGTCGTTTCTACTTCTATTACACGTGTTCGTTCTTTTGTTTCCTCTTGTGTTTAACATGTTTTATCTGCTTTCCCTGTACGTTACATGGGTATGATGCTTTCCTGCCATCCACTTGTCCGATTTTCTTTTTTAGACACTTGTGATTGACATTTTTCGTTTTATTTTACGAGTGTGGTTTGTAAATCTTTAATTGTTACATTTGTCTAACCTGTTGTCTCTTCTTTCGTTACCCGTGTGTGAATTATGATTTTTCCTTTTAGTACACATGTGTGATCTGGGATTTCCTCTTTTCATACACGTATGTGAATTGTGATTTCTCATTTTGGTCCATGTATGTGAACTGTGATTTCTCATTTTGGTCCATGTGTGTGAACTTTGATTTCTGATATTGGTACACGTGTGTGAACTGTAATTTCTGATATTGGTACACGTGTGTGAACTTTGATTTCTCCTTTTGGTCCATGTGTGTGATCTGTGATTTCTGATATTGGTACACGTGTGTGAACTTTGGTTTCTCCTTTTGGTCCATGTATGTGATCTGATGTTTTTCCTTATATTACGCGTGCTGTATGTGTTGTGTCTCCTTTCGTTACGCATATCCATTATGTTACTTCCCTATTTGTTACTCGCATTTCAAGTTCTGTTTGTCCTTTTGTTACATGTATGTGATTTTCTTTAATTTTCATTAAACTTGTCCGATCTGTTTCTTCTAATTTTGTTACGTATATTTTAAGTGATGTCTGACCGGTTGTTTGGGTGATCAGGTGGCTCAACGGTAACGTGCTCGCCTTTCACCTAGACGTGCTGGGTTCGATTCTCGGTTCGAGCGTAAAAAATAAAGGGATACCTGCCGACCACGTGGGTTTTCCCCGAGTACTACGGTTTCCTACCACAGAATGATCCATCGCAGGCTTCCATCCAGACCAGCAAGAGGGGTTGATATTAGTTGATAGCTTGTTTCGCAATTGTTTTAAATGTTACTCGTGTCTGATATGCGGTTTCTTATTATGTTACACGTATTTCAACTGTTGCGCCTCCTGTGTCTCCTTTTTGCTTCATTTGCTATGTCCACTTTCGTAACACGTGTGTAATGTGTTGTTTCTCCTTGTGTTACAAGTGTGTAATGTGCTGTTTCTCCTTGTGTTACAAGTGTGTAATGTGCTGTTTTTCCTTGTGTTACAAGTGTTACAAGTGTTGTTTCTCCTTGCTTCACGTGTGTAATGTGTTGTTTTTCCTTGTTCTACACGTGTGTAGTGTAATGATTTCCCATGTGTTACACGTGTGTAATGTGTTGTTTCTCCTTCTACACGTGTGTAATGTGTTGTTTTTCCTTGTTCTACACGTGTGAAGTGTTATAATTTCCTATGTGCAACATGTGTGTAATGTGTTGTTTCTCCTTGTGTTACAGTTGTGTAATGTGTTATTTCTCCTTGTGTTACACGTGTGTTATATGTTGTGTCTCCTTGTTCTACACGTGTGTAATGTGTTGTGTCTCTTGTGTTACACGTGTGTAATGTGTTGTTTCTCCTTGTGTTACACGTGTGTAATGTGTTGTTTCTCCTTGTGTTACACGTGTGTAATGTGTTGTTCTCATTGTATTAAAAGTGTGTAATGTGTTGTTTCTCCTTGTGTTACACCTGTGCAATGTGTTGTTTCTCATTGTATTAAAAGTGTGTAATGTGTTGTTTCTCCTTGTGTTACACGTGTGTAATGTGTTGTTTCTCTTTGTGTTACACATGAGTAATGTGTCGTTTCTCCTTGTTCTACACGTGTGTAATATGTTGTTTCTCCTTGTGTTACACGTGTTTAATGTGTTGTTTCTCCTTGTGTTACACGTGTGTAATGTGTTGTTTCTCTTTGTGTTACACATGTGTAATGTGTTGTTTCTCCTTGTTCTACACGTGTGTAATATGTTGTTTCTCCTTGTGTTACACGTGTGTAATGTGTTGTTTCTCCTTGTGTAACACGTGTGTAGTGTGTTGTTTCTCATTGTATTTAAAGTGTGTAATGTGTTAATTCTCCTTGTTCTACACGTGCGTAATGTGTTGTTTCTCCTTGTGTTACACGTGTGTAGTGTGTTGTTTCTCCTTGTGTTGCATGTGTGTAATGTGTTGTTTCTCATTGTATTAAACGTGTGTAATATGTTGTGTCTCCTTGTTCTACACGTGCGTAATGTGTTGTTTCTCCTTGTGTTACACGTGTGTAGTGTGTTGTTTC